GGCCTCCCATACAGCTCCCACAATACAATCATACATGTTACAGAGGTCTTCACGTGAGAGTTTTCATTACAACCCACATCAACACACAGAGTTGCCACTTTGGGTAGATATACATCACTCAATAGGACATCAGTTCTCCCATAGTACAATAGCCTATCCTCATTTGTGAGCTTGGACCAATCCACTTTAGTGTTACAGGCATTTTTAACCTCCTGAGACATCTCAGGGAGACTATCACAATCTAGTGACATTATAAAAGGAATGTGATCTGACATTGATGCCTCATACACAATCTCGATTGATCTTACAGTGTCATGGGCATTAGCAGTGCTTATGCAATGGTCAAGCCATGAAGTTGTATGCCAGGCCTCGCTTATATATGAATAGCTATCTGTAGGCAGAAGTATTTGGCTTGATAATATAAGATTGTTATCATCACAAAACTGTAGCATATGCTTAGCAAACAAGGACCTTTTGTCTGATATGTCAGCATTCATATCACCCACTACAAAAACACTGGTGGAATGATTATCAGCAATAAAAGAATGTATAAAAGCAAGTCTGTTCAGGTATTCATCTTCATTATGCTGTGACTCATATGGTGTATATACATTGAGAATGCTAAACTCCTTGTTATTCATTTTGATCTGTACAGCAATACACCAGTCAACTTCAAGCCTGATGACATTAATGACAGCGTCCAGCTTTTTGTGCCACAGGATAGCCACGCCCCCTGCTATCCTTCCTCTCACTATTCCCAGAGATAGGTCCGTAGTGGACTCACCAGCCCCGTGAAAATTGTCATTAAGAGAGTTCAACTTTCCCAAGTCCTGCTTTGGTAAGAACGTTTCTTGCAAGCATAAAATGTCACATTTTTGTAGCAAGTTGTCCACCACTACACGTCGGATCCTATCAGCAGCGCTGTTGCCCAGGCGCAGCCCGCGACAATTAAATGATCCAACCCGCATAACGTTTAGCTAAGCAGCTCAGCCGTAGCCCCATTCAGTACCCTCGCACCAGCAAAAGGTCTAGCTCTGCTAGCCCCTATCACCTCCGCTTTACGTGGTTCATAGTATCTTCTCACAACTGAGCCTTCAGGCCAGAGTTCTGGGTTAAACATCTCCGCAACTTCATTGCACTCAGCACACACTTTAAACGAGCTATATCTGCTGCTTGCAGTGTCAATACGGTGACAGTTAACATCACGGCCGAGTTGTTCAGTTAGATATTCGGACAGTGTCTCAGCATCAAGGTCTGGCGAGAATTTGGTAGCAAAAACACTCACCAACTTCGTACGGATCACTTTGATATTCCCTTGTGCAGCAGTGCCAACAATAGGCTTAGGCATCCTCCGTTCAGGTTTCCCAACAAGCTGTTTAGATAAGGCAGACTGGCCCTCGGCCCTATTCCTCCGACCTCGGCCCTGTTTCACAACTTGACTCCATACCTGCGAATTTACCGCAGTTCCTCCAGGGCTCACACAGGCACTCACGGTCCCTGACGCAGCGAGCGGGTCAACACAGTTGGGATGTACTACATCAGTAGAAGAGCCGGGGGGGGCTCGCATCCTTCACCAACACCGCACCATTACCCTGAGCGCTCCCACAGGTAGTTTCAGCGTCACTTGGTACAGCCAGTCCTCCACCATGACTCGGCTCCAACTGGCGTTCTACGGCAGCAACTCTGCTGTCCATGGTCGCAGCCACAGCACGCAGGTCCTCACCGATATCTGCCTGAACTTCCACTACGTGTCTTAATGCGCAAACCTCGCTGTGCAGTCGCTCAGCAGGTTGGACACATCCAGGTTGTTAAACGTAACAGGCGGCAGCTCATCCAGGTAGTGGGAGACAAAACGGGGGATGTTTTCACCGCATTCATTTAGCACTTTTAGGCAGCTTTTAATATTGTTTGCATCCTTCTGGTTGCCTTTAAAGGCCACACACCGCTGCTTGGTTTCAGGACAGAGTTCAAACAACGTCTTTTTAGAAGTCTCGATCCATTCGGAATCGAAGGTGTTAGAGGCTACAAGGACTAGCTCGTCCTGGGTCATAGTTTTAATTTTAACCGCCAGGAAGTTGAGTAACTCATCCTCTACAATAACTAGGCCGTCAACAGTCTTATATATTGTAGGTTTTAGTCGAGGCCGGTGGTTTGAATCGGGAGCTACCGAGCCATAACACACACCATCAGCCATCTTGTAAGACTGTTTAATTGCAGTCAACCAGCCGTCAACTACTTTCGTTATGCCCTTAACTCTGCTTGTGTGTGGGTATGTAAATGAGCTGTGCAGTTCCTCTGCTGTCATTGGCCGTTCCGACCTCGCAACATCCGCGGTGATTGGACGGACGTCACCCAATCCCCGCCTGCTTCTGCCACGTCATCCGGGGGAGGAGTACAAAGGCCGGGCACGGACATCATTCTGGAGGCTCTGTAGTGTATTGTGTGACAGAAGCCTCTCATTGTGACAAGTGCATCTTCTGTGATTCCTTAGACTGCCTAGCGTGTGTATGCTGTGGGCCTCGTTAGAACCTATGTGGTTGCCCCTAGGGCAGTGTGTACTTCTGTGCCTCGTTAGACTGCCTAGCAGTGTGTATTCTGTGCCTCGTTAGACTGCCTAGCAGTGTGTATTCTGTGCCTCGTTAGACTGCCTAGCAGTGTGTATTCTGTGCCTCGTTAGACTGCCTAGCAGTGTGTATTCTGCGCCTCGTTAGACTGCCTAGCAGTGTGTATTCTGTGCCTCGTTAGACTGCCTAGCAGTGTGTATTCTGTGCCTCGTTAGACTGCCTAGCAGTGTGTTCAGTAGGGTTTCTGCGCGAGCACACTGATTAGCAGTGTGTCGTAGTGTTCTGTGTTTAGTATAGGGTTTGTGTGTGTGTATTGCTTAGATCCAGGTTGCTTAGCTCCTGTAGAACAGCATTTAGGATTCTTGACATTGTGAAACAGCTTAGACCCAGGTTAGTTTAGCGCCTGTCGATCAGCATTTGTGGAAGTATTGCTTAGACCCAGGTGATTAGCGCCTGTTGACCAGCCACCGCTGTGTTCCCACACCGCCTCATTTTGTTTAGTGTTTTGTTCCACTTTAGAAGTGAGGTACTTTCTTTCTTTTGTATCATATTGTGCATTTGTGTATATTTGTATCATAACTCTCTTTTGGAGTTCTCCTTTTGTTAAATCGTAACAGTTTGGTCCGTTGTTGGTCCAGGCTGTTCGTATATTATTGTGTTCATTGTTTTGGTTACAAATAAACCACCGGTAACACATACCAATTCCAATCTGGTCGTGTCGTGTCCCTTTGGTCCCCCTAGCCCAATAGGGAACGTACAATTGAGTAAAAGTAGAAGTACTCAGATCTTGACTGAGTAAAAGTAGAAGTACTCAGATCTTGTACTTGAGTAAAAGTTGAGTAAAAGTAGAAGTACTCAGATCTTGTAGTAAAAGTAGAAGTACTCAGATATTGTACTTGAGTAAAAGTAGAAGTACTCAGATCTTGTACTTGAGTAAAAGTAGAAGTACTCAGATCTTGGACTTGAGTAAAAGTAGAAGTATCCTACTCAGATCAAATACTTGAGTAAAAGTAGAAGTACTCAGATCTTGTAGTAAAAGTAGAAGTACTCAGATATTGTACTTGAGTAAAAGTAGAAGTACTCAGATCTTGTACTTGAGTAAAAGTAGAAGTACTCAGATTTTGTACTTGAGTAAAAGTAGAAGTACTCAGATCTTGAGTAAAAGTAGAAGTACCAGAGTGTAGGAATACTCTGTTACAGTAAAAGTCCTGCATTCAAAATGTTCCTCAAGTAAAAGTAGAAAGTATTATCATCTAAATATAGTGAAAGTAGCGACAGTAAAAGTAGTCGTTGTGCAGAATGGTCCGTTTCAGAATACTATATATGATATGTTTTATAATGATTGATCATGAAAGTGTTCTCAAAGCTGGTGAAGGTGCAGCTAGTTTGAATGGCTTTGTATACTGCAGGGTAGCTGGTGGATTTACTCCAGGTGGAACTAAAGTCTGATTTAACACTTGATTAGATTTCACATCATTCATCCACATCTGTGAAGTAACTAAAGGTATTAAATACATGTAGTGGAGTAAAAGTAGTAGTAGTAGTAATAATAATAATAATAATAATAATAATAAGGTAATACAAATGTGTATAAGTTGTAAATAAAATAAAAATACCTGTGTTAAACACGGTGTGTTGCATCAGTGTGGCATCAGGTGGCTGATACAGACCAGAGGCGCATCAACAGGAACATGATGTAAAGCAGCACGGTGTTTACAATATAGGCCTACATTCAAATCCGCTTTGATTTTCAAAATAAAACTTATATTGTATTAACAACGTAAACACAACAAATGTGTATATTAATAAATAACAATAAAATAGGATAACATCTTAAAACTTCAATACAATAAAGTCAGTGGTTAATAAAATAACAATTGAATATAATCAAGTAATAAACAAAACACACAAACAATAACAATTTTTTTGTCTAAAATACTCTAAATTAAATGCACTTAAACACTATATTAAGTTATACAATTACAATAATATACAATATAATTGACTACTGGAAAAACAACACATTTAGGTAATACAAAATAGATATAGTAAAGACTTACAACTTAAATAAAATCACTAAGTAATTATAAAATACATTTGAATACAATGTTTTAACATAAATACAGCAAAGCAAGTTTTATAAGAAATAACAATAACATTAATTGTTACAACCTAAGTACAATGAATTAAGTGTTAAAATAACAAAAGACTAAATTGTACATAACTAAGAGATAACATAATAATAAAATAGGAAAGAATCGTAATAAAAAAATATCCTGACTAAATAGAATAGTAGGGTTTTAAATGTATTCAAATGATTTTTTAGTTATTATTATAAAGAGGAAAATACAAATCTCTTCGTATTATAGATACAAACTATTGAACTTCCGGTACCCTTATTAGTAACTCTGGTTAACTTGACCCTCATCATCCTCCGAGGCCACCTGCTGCTGTGATCCTGCTGGCCGGAGAACAACGGCGATCTGCGGCTACTTTTCTGCCGATAGTCGGGAAGCAGAACCAACCCGGAGGATTACCTGGAGGTAAGACAACAACCCACCAAACATATTGGTATTAAACATATTTATACTTTAGTGAAATCTCATGTTCTGAAGCTGCTTTGTTAACGATGTGTTTTGGTGATGATCAGGTCCCGTTCTTTCTTTTATGTGAAGCAAGCCACCAGACTTCAGTATAGAAATTGCCTAATTTGTATTTTCGCCAAGGTGGATAGCTATATGTACAATATTAACTGTTTTAATGAATTATTAGGATGAATACTTTAATTCGGCTCACAATATAACACATGAATTAAGCTACAAACCATGTGCACATTGTGATTTCCATTATATGCAACCTTTAAGGATACACATGTGCACCTTCAAAACAACAAGGTGGTATACTCGTATGCTTTTCTAAGTATGCCGATAAGCAAAGCAACATTTACGTGTTATAATTATAATATCAAAAATAACATGGAAGTTTTGCTCTATTAAAGAGCACACATTAACAGGTGTGTTTCTGTCAGACTGGAAACAGTACAGCAACTCATTAATTATGGATGGTTGTTGTTCATACATGTTTAATACGTCACAACAGGTGCACCATGGTAGGCAGAGCACAAATACACAATTACCTCAACATAAGTACAAATACAGGTGTTTGCATGCTGGAATAATGCCAGTGTTGGAGAGTCACTAAGGACATTTACTCAAGTATTGTACTTTGTTTGACATATTTGTATTTTACTTTCCATTTAATGCTACTCTGTACTTCTACTGCATTACATTTCAGAGTTAAATCTCATACATTTGACTCCATTACATTAATTGTAACACGCACAGTTACTTTGTACACATAATAACACATGATATGCTGATATGGTGTAGTACTGTACTACTAATCTACACAGTATTTAATGCATCTAATATATATATAATATATGTTGCAAATTGACAAACTGTTCTTACAACAGGATCATATTAACCATAATCATATATCACTTAAAAGATCCATTCTGATATTGAGTTCTTTTAAGACTTGAAGAACATTTAGCTGATACTTCTGTACTTTTACTTAAGAAACATTTTGAAATCAGGCCTTTTCCTTGTAGTGGGGCATTTTAATTAAGGCCATAGTATATGTACTTTTACTTAAGTAAAGGACCTTAGTACTTCTTCTAACAGTGATTAATGCTAACTTTTCTACCTACATTAACTCAGTATGTACACTTCAGTGTTTTGCACAAAGAAACCCACTAAAAGAGGATTAACAATCTGAGCTGTCCTTTGTTCCCCAGTAAAGATCATGACCTGAAACACACCTGAGTTGCACAAGAGCTTCTACATGTGAGGAGGAAAAGCAGATTAGTTCTGTGGGAACTGAGAGAAGAGCAGCTGGAAAGAGATTCACTGTAGAATTCCTGTTCCAAGAACAGGGGGGGGGGGGGATCATTTCGCTCGGCTCTCTTAAAGCGCCGGCTGTTTCGGCTCCCAAATGTATGGAGTCAGATTTGGGTCAATATTCTAGCACGTAAAACAAGCTACTCACGAGCGGAAAATGTGCTTTTACACGCGCATAAAATGACTCTCGCGCGCAGATTAAACCCCTGCGAGCGGCTATGCGCTCGCTCGCGAGAGAGACAGCCCTCTTGCTCCCTCGCGGGAGTGTCAGCCTCACTCGCTCGCGGAGTCTGTCTACGCGCGCGTGAAAAGTTTCTGACACTTTGGGGCGGAGCCACTGGACTTTGATTGACAGCTGCCAGGAAGCCCGGAGTTGCCAGGTTTGATAAATGCCTGAACTACCAAGAGCCGAGGAGTGACAGCTGCAAGATCAGTTGGACGAGATTGAATGGTAAAGTTGTCCATAAAAAACTATTATATTCGTTTTACTCCGCCGTAACCTTCGCTCCCTCTCCTCCTCTACCTTTGCCTCGTCGGTGCTCTCAGCCCTCCCTTCCTCTGATTCGTTCCAACTCCTGCCTCCAAACTCTGCTGCAGAAACTCTCCTCTCTACTCTCTCATCCACTCTGGACTCTCTCTGTCCTCTCACATCTCGGCAGGCTCGTCAGTCCCCTCCTGCTCCCTGGCTAAATGATGCACTGCGTGCTAATAGAACCGTCCTTAGGGCAGCAGAGCGGAAATGGTGGAAATCCAAACACCGTGACGACCTCCTAACCTATCAAGCTCTCCTCTCCTCTTTCTCTGCTTCAATCTCTCAGGCAAAAAAGCACTTTCTTTCAAGATAAGATCCAATCTTCCTATTCCAATCCTAAAAAACTATTTTCCATCTTCTCCACCCTCTTGGACCCTCCAAAAGCTCCTCCCCCCTCCTCACTTCTGTCAAGCGACTTTGTTACCCACTTTGAAAAAAAGGTTGATGATATTCGCTCTTCTTTTTCTGACTCACCTCTACTCACCGCTGGGTCACCAGACCTCCTTCCACCAACACACTAACCTCCTTTTCCCCTCTTCTCTCCAAGTGAGGTTCTTACCCTCATTACCTCTGCCCGCCCTACCACCTGTCCTCTGGACCCCATCCCTTCAAACCTCCTTCAGACTATCGCTCCTGATATTCTACCGTTTCTCACCCATTTCATCAACACTTCTCTAACTTCTGGTCGCTTTCCAAACAGTCTCAAGGAGGCAAGAGTAAACCCTCTCCTAAAGAAACCCACTCTCAACCCGTCAGATGTTATAAACTACAGGCCTGTCTCTCTCCTCCCGTTCCTGTCTAAATCACTTGAACGCGCTGTCTTTAAACAACTCTCCTGTTATCTCCATCAGAACAATCTTCTGGATCCGCACCAGTCTGGTTTCAAGGCAGGTCACTCCACAGAAACTGCTCTCATTGCTGTCACGGAGGAACTGCACACTGCCAAAACTGCATCCCTCTCCTCTGTCATCATCCTGTTGGACCTGTCTGCTGCATTCGACACGGTGAATCATCAGATCCTCCTTCGCACTCTCCAAAAACTTGGAGTTTCAGGCTCTGCACTTTCCCTCCTCACCTCATACCTGAAAGACCGTACCTACAGGGTGACTTGGAGAGGGTCAGAGTCCGACCCTTGTCAATTAACTACGGGGGTCCCTCAGGGCTCTGTTCTTGGTCCCCTCCTCTTCTCCTTGTACACAAACTCGCTCGGATCAGTCATTAGCCCGCATGGTTTTTCTTACCACTGCTACGCTGACGACACCCAATGAATTCTGTCCTTTCCCCGCTCAGAGACCCAGGTCGTTGCACGCATCTCTGCTTGTCTAGCTGACATCTCTCAGTGGATGTCTGCTCACCACCTCAAGCTCAACCTTGACAAGACTGAGCTGCTCTTCCTCCCGGGAAAAGATTGTCCCACTCTTGACCTAACAATCAACATCGGCACCTCAGTTGTTTCCCCGACTCAGACTGCAAGGAATCTGGGTGTGACCCTAGATAACAACCTGTCCTTCACTGCAAACATCGCTGCTACAACCCGCTTGCTGCAGATACACGCTTTACAACATCAGGAAGATACGTCCCCAGCTGACCCAGAAAGCGACTCAGGTTCTGGTCCAGGCTCTCGTCATCTCACGCCTAGACTACTGCAACTCCCTCCTGGCTGGTCTACCTGCATGTGCCATCCGACCTCTGCAGCTCATCCAGAATGCAGCGGCTCGTCTGGTCTTCAACCTTCCTAAATTCTCCCACACCACTCCGCTCCTCCGCTCCCTTCACTGGCTTCCGGTAACTGCTAGAATCCACTTCAAGACACTGGTACTTGCTTACCATGCTGCGAATGGATCTGGCCCTTCCTACATCCAGGACATGGTTAAACCGTACACCCCAGCGCGTGCACTACGCTCTGCATCAGCCAAACGACTCGTTGCGCCCTCGCTGCGAAGGGGACCCCAGTTCCCATCGGCGAAAACACGTGGGTTTGCTGTCCTGGCTCCAAGATGGTGGAATGAGCTCCCCATTGACATCAGGACGGCAGATAGCTTGCACATCTTCCGGCGCAAACTGAAAACTAATCTCTTTCGACTCCACTTCGAGCGATAGAACTATTAACGAAGCACTTTTATACTAATAAAGGACTGGCTTACCTAAAGCCAGTTGAGTAGCACTTGAAATGTTTGGCTCTATGAAACCTGATGTACTTATATGATTCTGTTTTCTTCAAGGTTGTGTCTTCCTGGTCGAATGTACTTATTGTAAGTCGCTTTGGATAAAAGCGTCAGCTAAATGCAATGTAATGTGATGTAATGTAATGGTCAAATGCAGAGGTTTCGTTACATAGTACCGTCCTGTACTACGTAACGACAATAAGTTGAACCTTCAATCTTCTTCATACTCAATACTGTGGGCGATCCCCACAGGAGCACTTTGGGGTGAAGTGTCTCAGGGACACAACGACTGCAGTGGGGTTTGAACCTGTGCTCCCCTGATCCGAACACCGACGCACTAAACCACTGCGCCACACGCCTCCCTTTAAACTTTAAGATGTGTGCAGTGAAAGACACAAGACCTTTGTCATAAACTAAAGTAGCCAACAGTTTTTACACAAGAACAACTTGGTTTATAATAACTAGCTGATTGTGAGACAATGAATTGGAATCTAAAAACCTTACATAATTTAATCAATTTTTTGTATTATACATTCAATATTTCACGACACCAAGAAATGCATTGGCAACAAAACTTGTCTTAAATGAGATAGTACCAAGTAATACTTCATTCTTTCAAAACAAACACACACTGACCAAACCTCCCATTAGAGTAGGTGCTTCTTTACTTTCCAGTTTTGCAATATCAGTTTCTTATAGATGAACGATGCATACATGATTTGCCATCCAGTTGGGCATCTTATGTACTGGCTATTTTGGAAGAGGCAGACTATAGTGGTGAGAAAGGAATTTTATATTTTTGATATCCTCCCAAGTTTTGTTTTTTAATGTTTGAGTAGTATTACTTATAGTACTTCTATTTGAATGCTGTTCTCACCACTGAGTAGAAGTAGAAAACGGTAAATAAGTACTCAAGTATTCTGTTTCTGTGTTTCAGGTGTGTGTGCGATGAGGATGTGAGGTGTGTGTGTGATGGCGTCCTCGTTCTCCCCGCTGCAGGTGGGGCGTCTGCAGGGTCTCAGAGCTCAGCTGCTGCGGCGCTACGAGCACCGGACGCTGGTTTCCTGTCTGTCGGGGCTGTATGGCTGCAGGTGGACGAGAGAGAGGAGAGAGAGGAGCAGGAAACAGCCGGAGGACTGCTGCTGCAACAAGGTGAGGCAAGGAGAGGGAGTAGGAGTCATTGAGGGGGGGGGTTTCATTCCTTATTTTTCTATCAAGCCACTAGATGCCTTAAACCATGGTGTCCACACTTTTGAATTGGCCCTCATCAAAGTCCAAAAGTATAATGGAATATGGCCCACTTTTCAAATCAATTCAAGTTTAAAACATTTTCTAACAAATCTTAGTTGAAAAAAAAGCCCAATAACTTATTTGTATAACAAGCTTGAAATATACCCGTCATATTTCCCCTTAATAAGAAATCTGAGGCTTCTGTTTTAAGGAATGAGCTGCAACACGTTTTGTAACAAAATCAATGAAACCCTATCGAGGGCTGTGATGAATGCTGTTGGTTTTCTTAAAGCATGTTCAAGTATCAAACCTACATTTGATAGTTTTTGCTAATTTATAACTTAACTTATTAGGAAATATCCATCACCTCGTTTGTTCTGTATGTGCCCCCCTTGCAGTTGATGAGTTGCTTGGCCTCCGATGGTTTGGATGATGTTATGCAGTGGGTTTGCTCAAAAATATAATAACATACTTTTACACATGCAACAAAGAAAAGAGGCCTTAACAATAGTCAAGGCAAAACTCAAATAAAATAACTAACAACTTAGGTATTCTTTCTTGCTTTCTTTCTTTGTTAAGGCTCGTATAACTTAAAGGGTAATCGAACGGTTAAAAACTGTTCCTCGACGACGTCTTTCTAAGGTTGCCCGTCACTTTTAGAGGAGGCACCGTGGGAATTGTAGTCTTTTATACTCTGGTTGACTACAGACGTCACGATTAAGTGGTCCTTCTTATAAAAAGAAAATACTGGCTCGAACAGTCACTAAAGCGTGGTTTCCCTTTACTGTAGTGAGTTATAAGGTTTGTGTGCATGTAAATGGTCTGCAAAGGCTACAAATCCTAAAGATCTGGAACATAGTGACATCACTAAGGAACACTCACGCTTCTATTGGCTAGCGCTCCTATGTGATAGCCTAAGGGGCAGGACATCTCTAAGCGATTGACCAATCACAACAGAGCAGGCCAGCTAACCAATCAGAGCAGAATGGGCTCTGGTTTCAGACAGAGGGTGAAAAGAGGTGCTGCAGCACAAGGAGACATGTCCCAGTAGAGACACAACAACATGTATATTCATTTCTACTTTCTGTGGCAATAAATGTGTTTTATTAAAAGTTAGTTTCATTTAAATGGTGTCTTCCCTGCGTACAGCTGGAAGGCGTCTGCTTGGCTCTGCTGGTTGCAGCTTTCTGCTTAACGCTGGTGTTTCTCTACTTCTGGGGACAGGCTAAGAACGACTACAATGACTTTGACTGGTGGGTGAAATGACACTGACGTTACACACACAAAAGCAAATGGAAAACACTCAACAAAGCAAGAAGCTGGGGGCAGTTATCGTGCAGTATTTAAGGATTTGATGTGTAGTCACATGTGCTGCTGTGTTTGTACACTTTGTCTATGCTGGTCTGGCCCTCCAGATGTTTCTAGCTGAGTTATTCATTTAAATACATTTAAAAGGTATATCATATGAATTTCAGTCGATTCTTTGTGAGGTATATATGCTTATACCCAGCACTCTTTGCCCCAAACCATTCCTATCTCCAAACTGGAATTTCATTTGGACCTCCACCACACATTTCCTGATAGTTGCTTAATTTGTTCTGAGATAACTTCTGTAGCTACATGAATTCAACGTACTTGACCTCTTGACCTCTCCTCTGTTTCCCCTGCAGGTTCACCTTCAGTACCCTGGGCTTCTGGTTCCCCTGGTCTCTGGTCCTGCTGGTCGTCGCTGCAGCTTTCTTCACCTACGTTACCGTACTCATGGTGAGGAGAACACTTCATACTTTATAGGTCACCTATTGTGCAGAATCCACTTCTTCATGTCTCTTCTACATCAACATGTGTCCCCTCTTCTTCATGTCTCTTCTACATCAACATGTGTCCCCTCTTCTTCATGTCTCTTCTACATAAACATGTGTCCCCTCTCTCATGTTACACGTGTCCCTCTTCTTCATAGTCTCTTCTACATCAACATGTGTCCCCCTTTTCTTCATGTCTCCTTCTACATCAACATGTGTCCCCCATCTTCTTCATGTCTCTTCTACATCAACATGTGTCCCCTCTTCTTCTCTTCTCTTCTAACATCAACATGTGTCCCCTCTTCTTCATGTCTCCTTCTACATCAACATGTGTCCCCTCTTCTTCATGTCTCTTCTTACATCAACATGTGTCCCCTCTTCTTCATGTCTCTTCAACATCAACATGTGTCCCCCTCTTCTTCATGTCTCTTCTTACATCAACAGTGTCCCCTCTTCTTCATGTCTCTTCTACATCAACATGTGTCCCCTCTTCTTCATGTCTCTTCTTCATCAACATGTGTCCCCTCTTCTTCATGTCTCTTCAACATCAACATGTGTCCCCTCTTCTTCATGTCTCTTCTACATCAACATGTGTCCCCTCTTCTTCATGTCTCTTCTACATCAACATGTGTCCCCTCTTCTTCATGTCTCTTCTACATCAACATGTGTCCCCTCTTCTTCATGTCTCTTCTACATCAACATGTGTCCCCTTTTCTTCATGTCTCTTCTACATCAACATGTGTCCCCTCTTCTTCATGTCTCTTCTTCATCAACATGTGTCCCCTCTTCTTCATGTCTCTTCAACATCAACATGTGTCCCCTCTCTTCATGTCTAATGTCTCTTCTACATCAACATGTGTCCCCTCTTCTTCATGTCTCTTCTACATCAACATGTGTCCCCTCTTCTTCATGTCTCTTCTACATCAACATGTGTCCCCTCTTCTTCATGTCTCTTCTACATCAACATGTGTCCCCTCTTCTCCATGTCTCTTCTACATCAACATGTGTCCCCTCTTCTTCATGTCTCTTCTACATCAACATGTGTCCCCTCTTCTTCATGTCTCTTCTACATCAACATGTGTCCCCTCTTCTTCATGTCTCTTCTACATCAACATGTGTCCCCTCTTCTTCATGTCTCTTCTACATCAACATGTGTCCCCTCTTCTTCATGTCTCTTCTATCTACATCAACATGTGTCCCCTCTTCTTCATGTCTCTTCTACATCAACATGTGTCCCCTCTTCTTCATGTCTCTTCTTCATCAACATGTGTCCCCTCTTCTTCATGTCTCTTCTACATCAACATGTGTCCCCTCTTCTTCATGTCTCTTCTTCATCAACATGTGTCCCCCTCTTCTTCATGTCTCTTCTACATCAACATGTGTCCCCTCTTCTTCATGTCTCTTCTACATCAACATGTGTCCCCTCTTCTTCAATGTCTCTTCTACATCAACATGTGTCCCCTCTTCTTCATGTCCTCTTCTACATCAACATGTGTCCCCTCTTCTTCATGTCTCTTCTTCATCAACATGTGTCCCCTCTTCTTCATGTCTCTTCTTCATCAACATGTGTCCCCTCTTCTTCATTGTCTCTTCTACATCAACATGTGTCCCCTCTTCTTCATGTCTCTTCCTACATAACATGGTGTCCCTCTTCTTCATGTCTCTTCTACATCAACATGTGTCCCCTCTTCTTCATGTCTCTTCTACATCAACATGTGTCCCCTCTTCTTCATGTCTCTTCTACATCAACATGTGTCCCCTCTTCTCCATGTCTCTTCTACATCAACATGTGTCCCCTCTTCTCCATGTCTTCTTCTACATCAAACATGTGTCCCCCCTCTTCTCCATGTCTCTTCTACATCAACATGTGTCCCCTCTTCTTCATGTCTCTTCTACATCAACATGTGTCCCCCTCTTCTTCATGTCCTTCTACATCACCATGGTTCCCCTCTTCTTCATGTCTCTTCTACATCAACATGTGTCCCCTCTTCTTCATGTCTCTTCTACATCAACATGTGTCCCCCTCTCTTATGTCTCTTCTACATCAACATGTGTCCCCTCTTCTTCATGTCTCTTCTACATCAACATGTGTCCCCTCTTCTTCATGTCTCTTCTTCATTCAACATGTGTCCCCTCTTCTTCATGTCTCTTCTACATCAACATGTGTCCCCTCTTCTTCATGTCTCTTCTACATCAACATGTGTCCCCTCTTCTTCATGTCTCTTCTACATCAACATGTGTCCCCTCTTCTTCATGTCTCTTCTACATCAACATGTGTCCCCTCTTCTTCATGTCTCTTCTTCATCAACATGTGTCCCCTCTTCTTCATGTCTCTTCTTCATCAACATGTGTCCCCTCTTCTTCATGTCTCTTCTACATCAACATGTGTCCCCTCTTCTTCATGTCTCTTCTACATCAACATGTGTCCCCTCTTCTTCATGTCTCTTCTACATCAACATGTGTCCCCTCTTCTTCATGTCTCTTCTACATCAACATGTGTCCCCTCTTCTTCATGTCTCTTCTACATCAACATGTGTCCCCTCTTCTTCATGTCTCTTCTACATCAACATGTGTCCCCTCTTCTTCATGTCTCTTCTACATCAACATGTGTCCCCTCTTCTTCATGTCTCTTCTTCATCAACATGTGTCCCCTCTTCTTCATGTCTCTTCTTCATCAACATGTGTCCCCTCTTCTTCATGTCTCTTCTACATCAACATGTGTCCCCTCTTCTTCATGTCTCTTCTACATCAACATGTGTCCCCTCTTCTTCATGTCTCTTCTACATCAACATGTGTCCCCTCTTCTTCATGTCTCTTCTACATCAACATGTGTCCCCTCTTCTTCATGTCTCTTCTTCATCAACATGTGTCCCCTCTTCTTCATGTCTCTTCTTCATCAACATGTGTCCCCTCTTCTTTCATGTCTCTTCTACATCAACATGTGTCCCCTCTTCTTCATGTCTCTTCTTCATCAACATGTGTCCCCTCTTCTTCATGTCTCTTCTACATCAACATGTGTTCCCCTCTTCTTCATGTCTCTTCTACATCAACATGTGTCCCCTCTTCTTCATGTCTCTTCTACATCAACATGTGTCCCCTCTTCTTCATGTCTCTTCTTCATCAACATGTGTCCCCTCTTCTTCATGTCTCTTCTACATCAACATGTGTCCCCTCTTCTTCATGTCTCTTCTACATCAACATGTGTCTCCTCTTCTTCATGTCTCTTCTACATCAACATGTGTCCCCTCTTCTTCATGTCTCTTCTCATCAACATGTGTCCCCTCTTCTTCATGTCTCTTCTACATCAACATTGTGTCCCCTCTTCTTCATGTCTCTTCTTCATCAACATGTGTCCCCCCTTCTTTCATGTCTCTTCTACATCAACATGTGTCCCTCTTCTTCATGTCTCTTCTACATCAACATGTGTCTCCTCTTCTTCATGTCTCTTCTACATCAACATGTGTCCCCTCTTCTTCATGTCTCTTCTTCATCAACATGTGTCCCCTCTTCTTCATGTCTCTTCTATATCAACATGTGTCCCCTCTTCTTCATGTCTCTTCTTCATCAACATGTGTCCCCTCTGTGGAAAGAGACTCTGAAAGTTTCAGGAACAAAGATTCTCTCTCTTTTTGATCCATTTCTATAAAAACCTGTCTGAAAATGAGCTGATCAGATTTTGGCCACTTTGTGATGTCATAACGATGTTTTGGCTTGTGTAACCATTAGCCAATCAGCAACCAATGTAACCCCCCCCCCCCTTATCACCTGCATCTCCTCCTAGAGCTCCATTGAGTTATTTGTAACCAGATCTCTCTCAGAGGGGCGTGGGGAGGGGCTCCTTATTTTCATCTAAAGTAACAGACAGAGAATCAGCACTTTGGAAACAGGGCTGAAACAGAGGGGATTATGGGTAATGCTGCAATGATCTGTTTGGTGTTTCAGCCAAACAGAGACAGGTTCTGGATATATCTGAGACCTGTGATATATTGATGTAAAACAGTATGATAGGGGACCTTTAACATTTATTCAGGATATTGGGAAAAAGTATTTTTTCTGGTATAATACATAGAATGGTGGTACTTGAATGCAGGGTTAGTGCCTCCTTGTGTGGTTCAGTGTAAAGGCCTCAGTTTATCACATTATCACCAGGTCAGCAGGTCGTCCATTTTATAACCCTGAGAGGTCAGAGGTCAGAGGTCAGACACACTGCACTACGTACATGCTTATTCATCCGGATGTGTGGCTCTATTGCTTTTAAGTGATGTGCTGTTCAAGGTAAACATGTTGTTTTGGGTAATTCCCAGAAAGCAACTATTTTAAGTAAAAAGTAAAACTTGTGTGTGTGTTCCTCGTGCAGCTGCTGGCGGTGTGTTTGCTGTCAGAAGGTCAGAAGCTTTATTTACACTGGAGTCACAAGGTAACAGTCTCTCACACACTCAAAGTCTAATGTCAGCTGCTTATTACTGATTTAATTTAGTGTGTTAAATATAACAACATCTTTGTGATGGATCCCCCCCCCCCCTCCTCCTCCTCCTCCTCCTCCTCCTCCTCCTCCTCCTCCTCCTCCTCCTCCTCCTCCTCCTCCTCCTCCTCCTCCTCCTCCTCCTCACGATGATGAACTGTGGATTGAAGTTTCTGTTTCTCCTCAGATTGGGATCGTTGTGAGTCTGACGTTCTCCATCGTAGCGACCGCTGTGTTATCTGACCTCTGGAGCAAAGAGCTGACCACGCTGCTGCTCTCCTTCCAGGTCTCTAAATCTCTCAAATATCTAAAAAGAAAACGTGCAAATGAAATAAAACCCCACATATCAAAATGTGTTTGTAGAAGTGAAACATGTGAAGGTCTACAGCAGTGCTTCTCAAACTTTTTCTCAGCCAAGTACCCCCTGACCGACCCCGAACATTTTTGGTCGAAAAATATATATAATATAAATAATCCCAATATAGTGACGTTCCCTCAGTGTGTGATTTATTGCATGCATTACAACAAACTAAGGATATTTTTATTTTATGCATGAAAAATAATAACATAACGAAAACAAATGTAACCAGGAGTTTTTCAATTGAAGTTTAACAAACCAATGAACAAAATGATATATTATGCAAAACTATACAATACACACATTTGACATGTTTATATGAGGTGGTTCTAGGAATATTTTATATACAATTGTGTTTTCTATTTAACTTATTGTACTAAGATTATTTTTGTAATCATGCATGGTATTTTTTTAATTAACTTTTTTCAGTTTTAAAAAAAATCTCACGTACCCCCTGCAGTACCCCAACGTACCCCTAGGGGTCCGCGTACCCCCATTTGAGAATCACTGGTCTACAGGGCTGAAGTAAATTCAAATGAAAACTGATCCACACCTTTTTACTTTCGATATATACGAAAACAACGTAATCGAAATAAAACGATAATTTTTTTATTATTATTATATATTTTTATTTTTTATAATTTTTATTTATTTTTGGTTTTTCAGTTGAATTATGCTTAAAGTTCAGGGTAATCAACTGTTAAAAACATACTGTTCATATTTTCTTTCTCCAATAAATGGATGTTTTCAAAGTCAATGAATAATCGCATTTAATAATCGCAAGTTTGTAGCAGTGGCCGCAGAATAAATATATTAATTTAACAGTTTGGTTAAACCACTAAGTCCGACAACGCCACCCCGGGAATTTCACCCAGGGAAATGTGACAAGTTTTAAGTCACTAGGACACACAGGTTCGGTTACTCATGGAACAAGAGACGTGGTCCAATTATCAAAAATAGAACAGTTTATTTGTATACAATAGTAAAAATACAATTTATAAAAACAGTCACACAGGGCTATATCCAAAAGGGAGAACGAACAAGGGGGCTGTTTGACCCAAATAATCGAGATTATGATTTTTGCCATAATCGAGCAGCCCTAACTTCACCCCAAATTGCCCCTGTGGGGATTGTCCACAGTACTGAATGTATATAAGTCGCTTTGGATAAAAGCGTCTAACAAGTGACATGTAATGTAATGTAATAGACAGTAAGTAGGTACCCGAAACTTTGACATGGCGTACAAGAGAAAAGAAAAAAAGCTGGTTATTACATTGACAATTTACTGAGAATAGTCTAAAGCTGCGAGTCGACAGCATCGTAGACATAAACAAAAAGGCCGAGGGTAACCCACTACCAGAAGTATTATTTTGCCGCTCTGTCTCCAGGTGACTGCTCCCTTCCTCCATGTGGGGGGGGTCTTCCTGCTGACCGCTCTCTCCTGGCCCGTCGCTCTGCATTTCTTCCGCATGACCAGCAGAGGTGAGGAGAACATCTGGGTCTTTGAATTTACTTTTTGTAATGATTATGTACTTATATTTGTATATTTCTGGGCATGTGTAAATGTTAACTGGTGTAAAAATAAATATATTACTCAAAAAACTAATACTAAAATAATGAAAGTTCTCTCTGTGTGTTTCAGTGAGGGGGGGGCTGATCCTGGGGTTTTACCTGAGCTTCCTGTCCGTCCTCTATCTGGTTCCCCTCGGTCTCTACTCTCCTTGTATCAAAGAGGTCAGGACCCTCGGACCCCCGCCGGCCCTCATCGGACACAGAGGGGCCCCCATGGTGAGCGGGAAACAAAACTGAACTTTATAACATATAAAGCTTATTACTTAATTGTTTTATTTAGTTTATCCCAACATGTTCTTTGTTTCAAGTTGAAGGCTTTATTGTCATGTGCACAGGAGCTATAGTGTAGATATGTCAATGAAAAACTGAAGTCACAGGCTCCTCCAACAGAGCAACATGAATATATATAGGACATCACTAACAAAACAGATACAATAGCACAAGAGAATGTTTGGAGATGTGCAAGTAAATACAAATAAAATACAAATAGTGCAAGAAGAGTCCACATGTTCAAAATACTAACAGATGTTTTTACAAAGAATATAAGGCAAACAAACATGACTTATCGTATGCCTTAAAGGTCCCATGTCATGCTTTTCCGGTTATCACCCGTCCCCTTGTTGTTATGAAGGTTTTTCTGCATGTAGACGGTCTGCAGAGTCACAACCCCTCAAAGTACACCCTGTAGCGAGTAAAGCTCTAACACAGGAAAGACCTGTCTGTGCTGCCCCAGAACGCCTCGTTGGACATTTCTTCCTGGGTACAGTGACGTGACCATACCCAAATGGACCCATTGGTCCAAATAGACCAATCCGTGGAGCTCCTCACACACACACACACACACACACACACACACACACACACACACACACACACACACACACACACACACACACACACACACACACACACATACCATGTATACATCACTTCAGGGGACATGCATTTCCTGGAGACTTATCCTAACCTTAACCATAACCAACACATGCCTAACCCTTACCCTTAACCTTACCCTAACCCTAATCCTAAACCTAACCAACTCTTCACCCTAAAATTAATGATTCCCCTCATGGGGACCTCCAATTTGTCCCCATAAGGGAAGCCAGTCCCCACACGTGACTATGTAAACAGATTTAGGTTCCCACAAGTATAGTAATGCTAGACCACACACACACACACACACACACACACACACACACACACACACACACACACACACTCTCTTTCTAGTCGACCTCAACAATGGAAATATGATCAGTAGAAATGGCCATGACATGGGACCTTTAAACCCAAAATCACTTGTTTTTTTGTATAATAATTAAATAATAAAATAACAAAACATAGCACCGCCGAGCCCACAGTGATGTGTTAAAGGTAATTGTTTTTCGTTGTTTTTAATACTCATACGCATTCACAAAGAAAAGCAGCAAATTCACACATCTGATAACACAGAATATATTTGGGTCGATTCACGTGGAAAAAATGACCTACATAATGACTTGATTGCAAAAGTTGCTGCTCTTAAAAGGTCATAGAATAATTCTGAAATAGTTGAACCCTTTAACGTCAACAGGGAAGATTTGTAGAGTTTAGATACAAACAGAAAGTGTAAAACCAAACATATTCTGGGATATTTGTCCTCACATCCTTCCTGCCCCAGCTGTTTGGAGTCACCTATGCTCGCACTTTTGGTTCTTTTAAATATTTACATTCCTCAGTGAGAAAGCAACTACATTCCCTGACTGCAGCGGGGTCTACTGATGGTTAGATTAGAAGCATTCATTGTTATTTATACAAGTACAATGAGAAGAGTAGACAGGGTATACGCAGGAGTCCTGAAGTCACATGTAAGACCTTTTAAGACCTTTTTTAAGACCCTTTCCATACATTTTAAGACCTCATCGCCACTTAGTTTTAACCGGTTACCTTGGCGACACACTTTACCTCACATTGACTATATACAGTATTGATTGTCCTTCCTCCTTATCTTCCAACCATTTGCGGTATTTTTGGAACTTTAAGTATTTTTGGAATTTACGGTATTTTTGGAACTTTAAGTATTTTTGGATATTTAAGTATTTTACGGTATTTTTGGAACTTTAAGTATTTTTGGATCTTTAAGTATATTTGGAATTTTAAGTATTTTTGGAATTTACGGTATTTTTGGAACTTTAACTTAACTTTTTAACTTTCCATACATTTTAAGACCTCATCTCCACTTTGAGTTGTAACCGGTTACCTTGGCGACACACTTTACCTCACATTGACTATATACAGTATTGATTGTCCTTCCTCCTTATCTTCCAACCGTTTGGACGCTAACTTGCATTTCCCCATAACGATGTTGCTTAGCAACCGGCGTAAACAGACCTTCGCACGCTATCAAGCAGTGAGCGTGCGATGTCCTGTTCAGATGACGTCAAACCCAACGAGATGCCATAAATAAACTACACAGAATCACACTACACACCTACGCCATGATTACATTCAGGCAGACTGTAGAACACAACCTCTCTGGACCATTTATATACTTATTGAAAACAAGCTACAACATGTAACACCTTGGAAAATGCCCTTTAATACTTTTTAATAGCCTTCATTTTCGCTAAATTGATTTATCAACTTGTATACATCTGTAGGGTCTGCACTGTTCTCTACGAAGTGAGTGGGTTCACCGAGTTGTAGATATCCATCAGGGAGGGCGAGGGCTGCTTGTATGACTCTCTGAAGCCTCTTCACTTCTTCTGGTGTGTTTATATATCCAGGGTTTTGTGTAACTGTGTTCCAGCTGGCTCCAGAAAACACTCTGATGTCGTTTGAGAAAGCTGTGGAAACAGGAAGTGAAGGTCTGGAGACGGACGTCACCATCAGGTCAGTCAGCCGCAGGTTGAAGTGGTGCATATATGGAAGATTATTCGCCTTTTATTGAAAATATAACATGATTTTTGTCATTGGTTGATACTATAATGGTTGTTTGTATGAAGACTCTGAATACAATTTAACTTTCTAGTATAAAAAAGTAGAATAAAGTGTATAGTATTTTGTAAAATGTTGAAAAAAAGTAATGTTATAGCCTTCAAATATATTGAAAAAAGCCAAATAGGAAATAAGAGTTGATATCTGATCCGTGATGCGTCGTTTTTATTATAGATATTGATATACAGTTTAGATTTCCCTGACATATTGGCCTCACTAATGACAAATAAAGGGAACCGACAGATTACAATTCACTCATAACATTTGATAACATGTGATAAATAAGTACATGTATTGATCGATCATCATGTCCTGGTTGCAGTGTGGACGGAGTCCCCTTCCTGATGCACGATCAGACGCTGCGTCGGACCACCAACGTCCAGCACATCTTCCCCAACAGAACCAACACGGCCGCCTCCTTGTTCAGCTGGAGCGAGCTGCAGAGCCTCAACGCCGGAGCCTGGTTCCTCTCCGTGAGTCTCAGGAGATTTTTTTATTTAATTGTGATCACATTTTTATTGAGATTAATACACAACATGTACAACCAAAAGCACACAGTGGCGATTCTAGAGTCTGTGGGGGCCCTAGGCAAACATTCACTGGGGGACCCTCGAACCCCCCCCCCGGAGCGGAGCAGCGCAACTGAAGTTATGAGCTTTTGACGGCGCGCTATGCATGGGGATCCCTTGAGGGGGTTACCCGACATGTCGTTGCAGTAAATTAAGGGGTGTTTCATGTTGTCGTAGCTGTGGACCTTCTTAATCTACCTTCTTTGGGGGGCCCCCTTCTGGTCCGGGGCCCCAAGCAGTTGCCTGTTCTCAAGGTGCGCCCCTGAAAGCACAACACACAATACATATGTAAGCTGAAAATAATAACGATAAAACCATAAAGATGCATCGTTTTCTTATACTTTTTATTTTTTAATGTAACATAAATTATGCAATCTTTGTTTTAACCTTTTTCATATTTCTTTCTAAAATACTTTGTCTTTTTAAGTGAGATTTTAAAGGAATTAATTGTTTTATTAGCCATTTTTGGCTTTTAATTTACATTTGTTTCCTCTTTTAAAACTGCACAGCTCTTCCACCTTAAATTCTGATGAACTGCAGATTTTTTAAATGTTTCTCAGCAATGTTTCATATTTTCTTGTAAACATTTCAAATTTTTCATATTTTAGACGTAATCCTCCTACTGTGTGTTATTTATGCACTAAATCAAATTGCCTGCATGTGTAAACCTACAATAGTGGCGCAGTCAGTCGGGCTTGGACTGGGAGCTGTAGGATCGCCGGTTCAGGTCCCCGAACAGACCTCAAAAATGGAGTGTGGACTTCTACTTGGAGAGGTCCCTGTTCACCTCCTGCCCTGCCGTGGTGCCCTTGAGCAAGGCACCGGACACCCCCCACTCCCATTGCGCTGTACAATAGCTGCCCACTGCTTCTAGTATAGACTCCTGGTACTAGGATGGGTTAAAAGCAGAGAACACATGTCGCTGTGTGCTCTGCATTAAAAAGGGTTTCATCCCTCCCATTATTATTATTATTATTATATATACTGCAGAGGATACAAGCGGCCGAGATGGGTTTTCTCCGCAGGGTGGCTGGCGTCTCCCTTAGGGATAAGGTGAGAAGTTCAGTCATCAGGGAGGGACTCTGAGTTGAACCGCTGCTCCTTCGCGTCGAAAGGAGCCAGTTGAGGTGGTTCGGGCACCTAGTAAGGATGCCACCTGGGCGCCTCCCTAGGGAGGTGTTCCAGGCACGTCCAGCTGGGAAGAGACCAAGGGGTAGACCTAGGACCAGGTGGAGGGATTATATCTCTTCGCTGGCCTGGGAGCGCCTTGGGATCCCCCAGTCAGAGCTGGTTGATGTGGCCAGGGAAAGGAATGTTTGGGGCTCTCTGCTGGAACTGCTACCCCCGAGACCCGACCACGGATAAGCGGGAGAAGATGGATGGATGGATGCTGCAGAGGAAAATACGCTTTTTTTTTTAAAAGAAAAAAATATATAATTATGATGCATCATCTGACTGTTATAATTGTATAGGTTTAACTGTAATATAATGTAAGCATTTTTTTGTTTTAACCTTTGTGTATTGTGTATCACTATTGCTTTATAACAGCGGATATTTTTAACCATTCTTTCCTTTTTAATTTGTAAAACTTCTGACTGAATTCAGCACCTTTTTTAATATTCTTATAACTGCACAGCTCTTCCACTTTAAATTCAGATAAACTTCACATTTCTGGACATTTTCCGAGCAGTTTTCATGTTTATTGCACTTTCTTTTTTGTATACTTATTTTACATTTTTTAAATAGTTTTAATTCGAGTTTGCTCCTTTTTTTCAACAAATGTACTCGTATTACTGTGTTTACATGTGCACCCTTATTCACTAAAGCAAATTGCCTGCATGTGTAACCCTACACGAGGCAATAAACCTAATTCAGAACATCACATTAGAGATAGTAAACATAGATATTGACTTTACATGTTGCGTAACAGGACGAATGGCAGTTAATTCCCCATCACAACACCCCGTCCCCCACAATGCATCACTCTCTGTGCTCCCTGTTGCATCACTGATGAGTTATTGATGTTTTCAGAGCGACCCGTTCAGCACCGCCGGCTCTCTGTCTGCAGAGGAGCGTCTGCGCGCCGCCCAGCAGCCCGTCTGCAGCCTGCAGGCCTTCCTGCAGCTGGCTGCGCAGACAGAGCAGCTGGTGATCTTTGACCTCTACCGGCCCCCCAGAGGTCATCCGTTCAGAGACACCTGGATCCACCGCACGCTGGAGGTCATCCACGAGTCCTCCATCAACTCCTCTCAGGTCAGTGCTCCTCCTGCTCTATTCACACTGACGGGGCTTCACTGACGGGGGGCTTCACTGACGGGGGGCTTCACTGACAGGGGCTTCACTGACGGGGGGCTTCACTGACAGGGGCTTCACTGACGGGGGGCTTCACTGACAGGGGGCTTCACTGACGGGGGGCTTCACTGACGGGGGGCTTCACTGACAGGGGCTTCACTGACAGGGGCTTCACTGACGGGGCTTCACTGACAGGGCTTCACTGACGGGGGGCTTCACTGACGGGGGCTTCACTGACGGGGCTTCACTGACGGGGGCTTCACTGACGGGGCTTCACTGACGGGGGGCTAAAGACAGAAATAATGACTAAATACTGGCTGCAGTTTGAGCCTCTAACCATCACTTTTAGGTGGAAATACACTTGTTTGCAATAATGTGTGTGTGTGTGTGTGTGTGTGTGTGTGTGTGTGTGTGTGTGTGTGTGTGTGTGTGTGTGTGTGTGTGTGTGTGTGTGTGTGTGTGTGTGTGTGTGTGTGTGTGTGTGTGTGTGTGTGTGTGTGTGTGTGTGTGTGTGTGTGTGTGTGTGTGTGTGTGTGTGTGTGTAGGTGCTCTGGCTGCCCTCTGACCTCCGCTCTCTGGTGCATCTCTCAGACCCTTCCCTCCAGCAGACGTCGGGCAGCCGGCTCCCCCCGGAGGATCTGCAGAGAAACAACATCCTGAGACTCAACCTGCACTACAGCGACATGTCCACTCAGAGCCCCAGGTGTGTGTGTGTGTGTGTGTGTGAGTATGTGTGTGTGTGTGTGTGTGTGTGTGTGTGTGTGTGTTGTGTTCCTGTTAGAAAGATCTCCCTGGTCCCCGGCTTGAGCTTCAATCTCAGGATCCATGTATCTGTGATCCTCTCCAGAATGGAAGTAGTCACCAGAGCATCAACTAGTTCCTGAACAGTGTCCTTCACATGCTGATATCCAAGAGAGGGAGTTACACAGTCACAACATGGAGGAATAGAAAGCAGTATTCAATGTTTACTTCAGATTAGCTCCACGTCAGCAATGAGCATGCTTGTCATATGTCTCTCTCCATAGAGGCTGAACCATCATGTTAATCACATAGCTATCATCTGCCTCAAACAGTCCTGATGCTCTTCTAGGTCATCACACATCCTGTCATGTTCACAGCTACAGTTGGGATACCTTTGTTATCACGTCACTCTCATGTTGGAAGAGGACCTTCAGTATTTTCCCAACAGTTATCATATGTTCTCTTCTCTTGTGTGTCAGTGCGTACTCAGCGAGTAACGTCAGCACTAACCTGTACGTGGTGACCCAGCCGTGGCTCTTCTCCCTCGCCTGGTGCTCAGGGGTTCAGTCGGTCACCACCAACAACCCCCAGCTGCTGAGCTCCATCACCGCCCCGCTGTTCCTCATGGTAACTCTCAACCACACTGTGTACAAGTACTCTGAATGTGTACTTGAGTATTTCCATGTAATGCATCTCTTCCCACTAAGTTTTGAAGCACAATTGTACAATTAAATACGTATGTCCGCCAACAAAATAACTTTAATCCATTTGATATTTACATATAGCCCCTTAATAAATGTACTGTCCATACTTTGCTTTTTATGGTATCCATTTAATAAAAAGTGCATTTAGTCTTCCTCATGGTAACACTTCACCACACTGTGTACAAGTACTCTGAATGTGTACTTGAGTATATCCATTTTATACATCTGTGTACCTCGTCACCACTACATTTTAGATGCACAGTTGTACTTTGAAATCAACGATATTTGTCCGACAGGAACAACTTTACAGTCTATTTGATATTTACAGCCCCTTAATGAATGAAATGTTCAGTACTTCTTGGGGTTGTTATGGTATTAAACATTAAGTGCATTTAGATTTGTATGTTTTAACGCTTCTCTTTTGTATCTGTGTGTGTCTCAGAGTCCAGAGGAGTACAACCTGATGTGGATTCTCACTGATCTGCTGTCTCTGCTGCTCATCATCCTCTTCTTCATCTTCCACTGGTGATTTCAACTCACAGTTTGTGCATCCTTAACTCTTACTAGAACAGCTAATAACACACTGTAAATGTGTGTCTAATCCTTTCAAAGGAAAAGCAGCAGGACATCTTCACAATTGTTAGACAATTAGATAAACAGATAAACTCTGTGGTTGAGTCCAGTTGTTATCACCGGTCCAAGATTAAACCGGTTTGATCCTTTTTCGACTTTGAGCGTGTAATTCATGCCTTTGTTTCTACGCGTCTAGATTACTGTAATGCACTTTATGCCGGCCTAAACAAGACCTCGCTGGCACCGCCTGCAGCTGGTACAAATCGCTGCGGCTCGGCTGCTTACAGGAACCCGCAAGCCTGAGCACATCACACCAATTCTGGCTTGCCTCCTCTGGCTTCCCCTCCTCTGGCTTCCCTCCTCTGGCTTCCCTCCTCTGGCTTCCCTCCTCTGGCTTCTCTCCTCTGGCTTCCCTCCTCTGGCTTCCCTCCACTGGCTTCCTTCCTCTGGCTTGCCTCCTCTGGCTTCCCTCCTCTGGCTTCCCTCCTCTGGCTTCCCTCCACTGGCTTCCTTCCTCTGGCTTCCCTCCTCTGGCTTCCCTCCTCTGGCTTCCCTCCTCTGGCTTCCCTTCACTGGCTTCCTTCCTCTGGCTTCCCTCCTCTGGCTTCCCTCCACTGGCTTCCCTCCACTGGCTTCCTGTCCATTTTAGAGTTCATTTTAAGATGTTATTGTTTTTAAATCACTTAATGGGCTGGCCCCAGAGTACATCTCCGACCTCCTACAGGTGTACACCCCCTCAAGGGCTTTGAGGTCGGCTGATCAGCTGCTGCTGGTAGTCCCTAAAACAAGGAAAAAGACCAGGGGAGACCGAGCCTTCTCAGCGGTAGCCCCCAGGCTCTGGAACGACCTGCCCCCCTCATGTCAAATGTGTGTGGGACCTGTGTTTTGTCAATTACTAGGAGATGTGTTCCAGCATATATTGGTACCATAGTTTACTTTGCAAGTTGGCTGGTGAGCCCGTTTTCTGCTTGTCTATCATTGGTTAATGAAACCTCAGTTTCCTCTCACCCGGTTATTTTACATTTGTGTTACTTCCCTTTGGTTCCCCTAGCCCAGTAGGGAACGTAACAAACTTTTAAGTCCCGCCTGAAGACCCACCTCTTTTCCCTCGCTTTCGAGTCAGTCTGAGCTAAGTTTTATCGATTGTTATGCTTTTATTGTCTGTCCATAGCCTTTGTGTGCCTTGTATTCATTCTTATGTGTGCCTTTTATCTATCATTGTAATATTATATTTTATTATAATGTTGTTTGCTGTGAAGCACTTTGGTAAACCCTCTGTTTTTAATATGTGCTATAGAAATAAAGTGGATTGGATTGTTAGCTGGCACCATGAAATGTTTTTACGTGATAAATGATATTGAGATATAGTAGAGTACAATTAAAAGCAGCATGACATTCCTCACTAGTACAAGTACTCCACATTATATGGAGCTACACTTCTCGTTAGAAAGACTGCAGAGAGGAGGTGGGATCGGGTTCAAGTGTCTCGTGTTTATTGTTCTGCAGGTGGAGAGAGCGCGGCCTGGCTTTCTGCTCCGGCACTAAAGTCTCTCTGGATAACGGCACGTACAGCAAGTTCAAAGCAGGTGAGCTGCTTTTTGACTAATGTGAGGAGAGGAAGAATTAAAGAGATGTATATAAACATCCGAGACACTCAGGAGTTCATGGCATACTTTGCTTTAACATGTGATTGTGTATCGTACTATGACTTTCTTATTAACTCTTAATATTATTTTGCAATGCATTTTATACTATGACTTCTGTTTTCTGTACAGTTTTTCTTTTATGACATACTATACTATACTATACTTTTTTGGACATAGTGTAGCATGACATTTTGGGTTATTTGTACGGCTGACAAGTTCAGGCTCTGAGAAAAAAGCAAGAAAACTAAATATTTGGTGAATTAAAATGAAGCAGGTAAATAATGAATCTCTTAAATTGCAGCGACTATTAGGTTTGATCCTGTAACGGAGCGTCCACACTACAGCTTCAAAAAAAGCTTGGAGCTGGGCGTGTCTGAAGCTTGGGGATTTTATTCAAGCAACGCGACCAACAACCAATCACATGAATCTCCCGCCCCCGACATACAAAGCAAAAACCCCGGGGATTTTATGGGAGCAATATATATATATAAACTCCCCAAACAGGCGAAAACCTACCAGTTTCACCCACTGTCTCTGCCACCTCCCTCCATGCCTGGTTCCTCCGGTTTGTATCCCGGTAGGTGAAGAGGGTCTGGTCATACAAAACCGGGTGATTTGCTACGGCGATAATTAGTTTCTCCTCCATCTTTTTTTGAAATATAGAAATGAACGGCGGGATATCTCTCCCAGCTTAGACGCGGTTTGATTGGCTACGGCTTGATCTGTCAGATTTTCCGAAACGGGATTTGATTGGCTGGCGCTGGCTACTCCGGCGTCTCCGGCGTCAGAAGTTGAACATTGTTCAAGTTCAGAAGTTGAACATTGTTCAACTTCTGACGCCGGAGACGGACCGCTATGCTACCCACAACTCAGTTCGGCGAAAAAGCGAGGCAACGTGTGTAGTGTGGACGGGCCGTAAGGCAGATCTGCTGCTGTCATGTGGAAATGTTTTCTACACAGCTAACGTTTCTTTAACCCTCACCTGTCCGCCTTCCTCCTCTCAGAGATGAGTGACATCTGGTCCGTCTCCAGCATCAACTCTCAGGCAGAGAGGACGTCCAACCTGGCAACCGTGATGCAGCACTAACATCTGGAAACATCTCTGATCACATCTGGAAACAACTCTGATCACATCTGGAAACATCTCTGATAACTTCTGGAAACAACTCTGATCAGTTCAGTCAGACAACTCACGTGTTTCTTAATATGTTTATTCGAAGCAGCATATAGTTTGAGTTTGGCGTCTAGGCTCGGGCCTCATCACTCCACAGATTTACAAAGAACATTGAGTGATGATTAGATAACTATCCCCAGAGCTTACAGGTGGAAGCTGTGGTGGAAGCTAGAGTGGTGGTGAGGTGGAAGCTGGGGGTGGAAGCTGGGGTGGAGCTGGGGTGGAAGCTGGGGTGGAAGCTGGAGTGGAAGCTGGGGTGGAGCTGGGGTGGAAGCTGGGGTGGGAGCTGGGGTGGAAGCTGGGGTGGAAGCTGGAGTGGAAGCTGGGGTGGAAGCTGGGGTGGAAGCTGGGGTGGAAGCTGGGGTGGAAGCTGGGGTGGAAGCTGTGGTGGAAGCTGGAGTGGAGCTGGGGTGGAAGCTGTGGTGGAAGCTGGAGTGGAGCTGGGGTGGAAGCTGGGGGTGGAAGCTGGGGTGGAAGCTGGGGTGGAAGCTGGGGTGGAAGCTGGGGTGGAAGCTGGAGTGGAGCTGGGGTGGAAGCTGGGGTGGAAGCTGTGGTGGAAGCTGTGGTGGAAGCTGGAGTGGAAGCTGGAGTGAAGCTGGGGTGGAAGCTGGAGTGGAGCTGGGGTGGAAGCTGGAGTGGAGCTGGGGTGGAAGCTGGGGTGGAGCTGGGGTGGAAGCTGGGGTGGAGCTGGGGTGGAAGCTGGAGTGGAGCTGGGGTGGAAGCTGGGGTGGAAGCTGGGGTGGAAGCTGGGGTGGAAGCTGGGGTGGAAGCTGGGGTGGAAGCTGGAGTGGAAGCTGGGGTGGAAGCTGTGGTGGAAGCTGGAGTGGAAGGTGGGGTGGAAGGTGGGGTGGAAGCTGGAGTGGAGCTGGGGTGGAAGCTGGGGTGGAAGCTGTGGTGGAAGCTGGAGTGGAAGGTGGGGTGGAAGCTGGAGTGGAGCTGGGGTGGAAGCTGTGGTGGAAGCTGGGGTGGAAGCTGTGGTGGAAGCTGGAGTGGAAGGTGGGGTGGAAGCTGGAGTGGAGCTGGGGTGGAAGCTGTGGTGGAAGCTGGAGTGGAAGGTGGGGTGGAAGCTGGAGTGGAAGGTGGGGTGGAAGCTGGAGTGGAAGGTGGGGGTGGAAGCTGGGGTGGAAGCTGGGGTGGAAGCTGGGGTGGTGGTGGAAGCTGGGGTGGTGGTGGGGCAGGCGAGCAGCAGCAACATGAAACACAGCAGCAGGAACATGAACGCAGCAATAGCAAGTGAACACAGCAGCAGCAGCACAGCGAGGCAGAGGCAGGAAGACCTGGCAGCTTCAATAGAGCGGCATGTTTAGGAGAATGTGTTTGGTTGGTTGTAAGAGGGACGAGGCGCGTCACGTGGTAATGTATGATTGGGGCTCGAGTTGACTGCATGAACTAGCTTCGCTCCATTTATCCCCCCCTCTCGTATAAATACTGCCCCCTGTCAGATCCCAGCACACACACTGTCAGACGCACTTTGTTTTAATGAAATAAAGTGACACAAACATATCATCTTATTGTGAGTCGTTTTTTTGTCACACACAAACTCAGGTTGAAAGATTAAAGGAGTTATTCTCGTGTATTCCCATATTTTAGAACGGTTGTTTCTGCTTGTTTTAAGCGCACATACTGTCACAAGGTAATATATCACATTGTGAGTCTTTCACACACAAACTCAGGGTGAATGGTTAAAGGAAGTATTAGCATATTTAGTGCAGCTGTTTACTGCTTTTATAATATCTCATTTTGATTAAAAACGTTCAGTAGATCCTTAAAACCAACTAGACGGAGTCTGTTTTCTTGTTAAAGATTTTTTAAATGTAATTAATATTCTGCAACCATTGAAGGATTGCTAATGTTTGCTTAATGAAACCATGAACGTATGCTATCCGCTAGTGATAAATATAATTTAAATGGATGAAAGCTGTATTAATTAACCTCAAGGATACTCTCTTTTCAGATCGTGGTACAGTTGTATATCTCCAAGTGTCCAACATTAATAACCAATCAATCCAATTGGATAATGACCTTAATTAGCTCAATTAACATTATGTTTTTAATGCTCTGAGTTGAAGTTTTTTGCACCCCAAGGTGTTCCTGGAAAAACGCAAGGTAATTAAATTGCTTCACTCTCATTAATACAAAAAGCAGTCTGCGCGATCCGGGCCGAATCACAAACATTTGAAACGCTTTATTCACTTATTTTTCGAACATTCTTGTATTAGTCAAAGCTCAAGATCAAATGTTTCTTTTAAACCATCAAAGCTTTTGGCCCAGATTGAGCTCCAGAACCTCAGCAGCCGGTATTCAAGACAAATCAAACCCCTTGCTCTTTGCAAAACGTCATTTATTCACGTCTACATCAGTGGTCACATAAACAGGTATGATTAAGACTCAATGCTTAAAGATCAACGCTAAGGGTTTGTACATTTACATAGTTAAGTAGTTTTGGTACAGTGGATCAGGAGGAACTCTGGCACACACAACACGTTAAAAAATCATCCGTTCACCTCGAGATACTTTTTAATCCAGTGTCTTCTCAATATATCTTAAAGGTGGGGTAGGTCATTTTGGAGAAACCAGCTTGAGTGCGCTAGAATGTGAAAATACACAACCGGAAGAAATCTCCCACTTCCTCACAGAGCCCCTCCTCCAACACACACGAACACGCACATGACCAATGAGGGCACGAGATAAGTTTGTGCCCAGATGGAAGGCTGACAGGCAGGTAGGCCATCCAGTTACTTTAGCCGGCTCAGAGGATTGGTCGTGCTTTTTACAGCGCCACGGCTTCCACAGATATTTATTTATGGATTTATTGTCAAAGCACTTGAGATATTCATTGCTATCGGGATGTTAAGAGCATTCCATGGAATATAACAACAAGTGTAACTCGAGCCGGTTTCTCAAACGTACCTACCCCACCTTTAAGTTTGTCTGCAGAAACAGTCAATGTATCTACTAAAAGAAATAGAAAACACTACATGATGGTCTACATCTTAGGTTTCAGAAGTGTCTTTATATTTAATGCTGGTTTGGTAAACTTGTAATATCTCTGAGGATAAATAGAGGATTCAAAATGCTACTTCACAAACACAAACTAACAGACTTCTGTTTCGGGGATTTTCCAACTATTTCTGGTCTTATTTCTGAATTCTGTCTAAAAAAAAGTTGAAATGAAATTAATTAAGAAAACTCTGATAATATGATGAACGTTTGGAATTAGCTATTGTAATAATCCTTTCCTTTTAATAAAAACGATTGTGTTGCAGTAGATTTCTAACTTTTGAATGGCATTGAAAATAAAACATCCGATAATATAAACAGTTTATAATAATGATCTTATATCGAGCCATCCAAATTGCCGGGTGGGGAAACTTCAATTAAAGGCAATATGTGAGTTTTTAAGACAGGGGCCGATGCATTAATAACAAATGAAACCCCAAAAAACCGCCTCAATAACCTTTGTTTTGGTTAAAATCACACAGGTGTGTGTGTGTGTGTGTGTGTGTGTGTGTGTGTGTGTGTGTGTGGTGTTGTGTGTGTGTGTGTGTGTGTGTGTGTGTGTGTTGTGTGTGTGTGTGTGTGTGTGTGTGTGTGTGTGTGTGTGTGTGTGTGTGTGTGTGTGTGTGTGTGTGTGTGTGACGGTGAATGGATCACTTGTTGTTGCCCCGGGACGTTCTCTGTTTGGTCATCGTCGTCAGCATCTGGCTGATGTACGAGGTCAGCAGGTCGTCCATTTTATAACCCTGAGAGGTCAAAGGTCAAAGGTCAGACACACTGCATTACATACATGCTTATTCATCAGGATGTGTGGCTCTATTGCTTTTAAGTGATGTGCTGTTCAAGGTAAACATGTTGTTTTGGTTCATTCCCAGAAAACACCTTCTTACCAAAAATGCCGCTATTTCTTGTGTTTTTTTTGCCAAACTTCGTAAAATTTCCCACTAAAAATAAAGCTTTTTTAAGAACTAGTGGTGTCAAATAATTAAATACATTTGCAACAACTAAACTAATATTTCCATTAAGTGCTATTTAAAGTAGTAAGTAAAGCCTTGTGTTGAAATGCACTATATAAATGACCTTGCTATTTCTATTTCTACAAATACTAAACATTTCTCTGCATTTATTTGACTTGTACTCCTTGTGTAAATCATTGATAATGCAGTAGTAACATTATAATCTAATATTGTCTCCACATGAACACACTTCAACAACATAAACACTTTAAATGAATGTGTATGCTTGCAGGTGTTAAATAGTATAAACTCCAGTTCCTCACCAGAGCGGTCTCACAGAGCAGCTTGCTGCCGCGCACCAGGTTCCCGATGGTGATGTGGAAATACGTGTTTCCACTGCTCCAGTTAGAGATCTTAGTGAAGGGGTGAGTGGTGAGGATGTCCTGCAGGAGAGGGGGAATAAACACTATGTTACAGAGCAGAAACAGTACAGTTCACACACTCCTAAACACAAGCAGATTAGATACCAAAAAGGTATGCGAATTGTGAAGCTTGAGACGCAGTAATCTGTAATGAATGTACATTTACCTCTGACTACAGGAAATGTATGTTCACTACTATGTCTGTATTAAATAAATAAATGTACTACAGGCATGGGCGTGATTTCCACTGGGGACAGGGGGGTCACCCCCACTTTTCAAAATCCCATTTGTGTCCCCCCGACTTTTCAAATGTGTTTTTTAGTTTTTTCTACGCAAGCGGTCATCGCCACGGAGTAGCCCACAGCGTCTGTGTGTGTGTGTGTGTGTGTGTGTGTGTGTGTGTGTGTGTGTGTGGCACGAGCGCATTTTGTGTGAGTGTGCGAGCGAGAGAGAGCGCACCAGTTACGGGGGTTGTTGTTAGCATCTGGTGCTAGCTCGGAGCTAACGGAGATTAGAAGCTGTTTCAACAATAAGGAGAAGGAGAGCTCTCTCCTGTCGGACTGAGAGGCTGAGATAACGCTAACGGACTCTCTGAGAGATTAGATTGTAAACTTTAGTCTAAGTTATCTCACTGGGTCTCAAACGGTTTGGTCATCTATGTACACAAATATGTCCATCTATTTAATATAGTTGTTCAAAATAAGTTAAGAAATCATTCCACTGTGTGCTATAGGTCAGTACAACATTAAAAACACAGTGTGAAAGGTGTGATTAGTGAAATATGCATAAATAACTAGAAAGAATGCAGACTAGGTCAATTATAGATAGGAGAGTTGAGCTTATCAAATATGTGTTATTGGCTGTGAGAATATTCTAATGGTTTTTTGATTATTGAAATATATACAGTTCCCTGTTTTGTCCCCCCCCCCCCACCCCACACTTCTTGAAACCAAAGTTACACCCTTGACTACAGGTAATGAAGTACTTCCATTGGTCCCAGACTGTCTTTCAGGTGCAGGTGTGACGAAAACACATTTGTTCTCAAAATTGAACATAATATTTATTGGAAATTTGATGAATGTGCACCCACCTTAGTTTTAGGATCAATGAGACTGACTCCATGTTTGTTGATTGCTATCAGGAGGGTTTCTGGGTAATTTAGATCAGTTGTTTGCTGCAGAAAGAACATCATTTAAAACAATCAGGGGTAAAATGTAACTCGACATTTGATAAAGTACCATTTTGAGGTACATTTCCTTTTGATGGAAAACGGTCTTTAAAAGAAAATGTCATACTGCAGAATTACTCATTTGAGGTAAAGGGGTCTCAGGTCTTTTTCCACAACATGATAACAACATAAGCGACAGATCCAAACTTAAATTCACCTTATGACAAATATGACTATTTACCTTGACTTCAAAGAAGGCAGAGCCGAACGTGGTCCACTTGTAGATGATTTTGAGGAAGGACAGTTTGGCTTCTTCTTGAGATTTCCCCGAGTGTTTGTTGAACAGAGACATGATGGACTGAGAGGGAGAGACAGAGAAACACAACAACTCTGAAGACTTCAAAGAGTTATCGTCTTCCCGCCTGGTGTCAAAAACATGCAGAATCTGACGAGGAATAATGTAAGAAACGTTCCCTCTTTTATGTGAGTGTCAGTCTAAGTGCTCGATTCTGATTGGTCCATTTGGACAATATGCCGTTTGTTATTTCTTTACTTTGGACCATGTGCAATATCAATCCGCAGAAAGAAGTCCGGTCAATTTAACGTCAGCTGGTGCCAAAATAATACATTTCTCTAGGTTACTCCATCAGGAAACACCACGGAAAACATTTTGAATATTCATGTGATGTGAGGAGCACACACTGTGGATTCATGATGGCTAAACTGTCCTCAGGAAAGAGAAATCAGCAGAAGACAGACAATAACGGAATAAACAGAACAGAACAGAATAACGTTTCAAATAGCTAAAAGAGCTTCAGACCATAAGGCGTGGAAGCGTGCTTGCTAGGGTATTAGGGACGACTGGGACTGTGACGGCTGCCAGTGGAGCCTCGCAGCAACTCTGCCTTCTGCACCACAATCTGGTGCTGCTGAATTGGGACTATTAAATGAGTGAGACTCAAATATCAGAAGTTCAGAACAAGTTGTAGTAGTTTTTATTTTAACTTCATTTACTTTACTCAGGGTCACAGAGAGGAAAGCAGTTTTAAGATGTTGAAAAGTTCATTAAACATAAAAAGGCTTTTCAAAGAAGTTATTCCACGTTTTGACACCAAGATTTTCTGATTTGACTGCAAATGTATATCGGTTCCAAATATCGGTTATCGGTCTCCTTGATTACTAATAATCGCCTTGAAAAAGCCATATCGGTCGATCCCTAATTCGTATCTACTCTTTGTCCTTTAATCAGTCATAACATCTATTTCCGTCCCCTCACCCTCTTCCAGTCGTCGGGGGACAGGTGTCGGATCTGGTCCTGAGGGACGAGGTCTTTCAGGATCTTAGAGATGTTGATGAAGTGAGATTTATCGTCCTCAAACTTCACCCTGTAGATCAGAGCGGCCAGCTGGTGCACCTCCTCCTTCAGACACTTGTGGTAACCCCGCAGGTACTTAGGGAGCTCCTGCAGAGAAACACAACCAGAAATATACTTCATTTATTTGGGTTTTTTAACATAGAAAGAACATACAGTCACACAATACAACAATAACACTCCCCAGGCTCAACATCGAACATTCAGGAAATGTTCATATTCATCAATCTCCACTTGATCACTCTCAAGGAAATGCATCAACGTGCCCCATATCTCCGTACATTTATTTTCTTTCCTTTTGATCACAGAGGTTCATTTTTCCAAAGCGAGGCAGGACGTCATTTCCCGCAGCCACGTTGCAGACGTAGGACCCAGGTATTGCTTTTTAAATGAATGAATAAAAGGTTTGAAGACTGTTCTCTGAGCGCTGCTGCTCACCTGGTAGTAGTGGAAGATGGAGTCGGCCATCGTGTCTTTTCCCGGCGTGGTGTTGGTCCACAGCTTCTTCATGAAGAACACCTGATACGTCAGAGAAGGCAAGACACCTGCACACACACACACACACACACACACACACACACACACACACACACACACACACACACACACACACACACACACACACCACACACACACACACACACACACCACACACACACACCACACACACACACCACACACACACACACACACACACACACACACACACACACACACACACACACACACACACACACACACACACACACACACACACACACACACACACACACACACACACACGCGTTATATGAATCCACAACAATGTACAAAACCTTTACATTCTACAGAATATTTGTGTTTGTTGCTTTACCGTCTTTCACATGCCGAGCTTTCTTGATCCAGTCCGTCAGATGCCTCACAAAGTCGAAGAAGAAGTCTCCGTCGGGAACACTGATGACCTGGAAAACAGGAATATTTGGAGATATTTGGAGTAAAACTTGTTCTGAATGATAATGAGTTTGTAACGTCAGCACGAGGACCAATTAGGAAACGTTCTGGAGCTTTTAATCAAATCACACATCAGGTGGAGATGGGAAAAGTAGACTTTACTTCGATGACAAGTTCTTATAATGATATATTAAAGTGCTCACCTCCCTACGCTCTATATGGACCAGGACATTGTTTAACGCAAACATCATCTCCCCCTCAGGTACTAAAAAGATGTTTGATCCAGATATCCAGATGTTACCTTGTCGGTGATCTTCACGAACAGACTGAAGCCCTCGGAGGATTTGAGCAGCAGACGTCCGGAGATGTTGTGACAGAAATCTTTGGCCTTCGTGCTCGACTCCACTTCAAACACCTGCAAGCACACAGGAGGCTTTTATATAATTACTGCACGTATACAACATGAGTAAGAGGAAGAAAATGGGAGAGAAAAGTGTGTTTTATGGCAAATATGTTCACAGTAGCAGATTTAGCTGCAATATGTAAAGTATATTTTGATAAACATTAAGGATTAATTTAATAATTTCAAGCAAGTAAAAGGATTAAAGGTCACCTATCATGCTATGCTTAGGCAAAAGGTCTCAGATATATAAAAATATATAAAAAACATGTCTATGAAGTGTTTTGCTCAAAATACCAAACAGATCATTCTAGCCATGCCTCATATCCCTCTATTTCACTTCCTGTTTCTAAAGTGCTGATTTGGGTATAAAGCTTTAAAGAGGAGGGGTCTGAGCTCATGCGGGACCCGGCAGCTACTGTCTACACTAAATGCTGCCGTGATGAAACGCCATATCATGGATTATCAAGGATTATCTCTGAAACAGTCTGGAGCTCAAAGGCTTTCTCTCTTGCCGGTTATACCCATGGATGTATAATAAGAACTGGATACAGCGTGGGAGGCGGGGCCTCATTAATTCCTATGAGAGTTGCTCAATGGCGCATGATGACAAAATGGCCCAACTTTTGAGAGAGCGAAACGTCACAGATTACCCGGCATGCCTGAGAAGTACCCGTATGTGCGCTCATCGAGCATGCGTAACTTTAACCACGCCGTCCAAAAGGCTCGTCCACATTAAGCACGTGAATTTGCGTACACGTAACAGCACCACACGTTCATTACAGCATGGTACTGGATTTATATTAACGAGGCGGAAGTTAGCAGCTCGCTAGTAAATTATGCTAAATTACACATCAATCGTTATGTACTTTTATATTACGCTGACATCAGGATCTAGTGATATCCAAGCAACAGAGCTTCATTTAGCATGATACTTGGTTGTACATGAAACCACTGGGTAATATATCAAAATGTATATGTTGAAGCCTGTTATGATCAATTGTGAGTTAAAACTTTATCTAAAAAGTGAAGCTGGTGATGGATTACTGTGGTGGAGTTAAAATAACAATAGCCTATTTCTTTTTTAAATGTGATGGAGTAAAAGGATAGTAACTGTGATTATTCATGTGAAGTAGCACAAGTAACTAAAACAATTGCAAGTGCAATAAGATGCTACAGGAACGTTAATCTACGTCGGTAATATTAACTTTATTTAATACAACATTTACGGTACAAGATTTACATCATACAGCCCATGTAGTATAATATTTTACAAATGATGAATTACAGCAAACATGTGCAATATATCCATTATTACAGCTCCGTGGCAGTAAGGCGATATGGTCCGTTGTTATTGTGCATCCATGGGTAAAGAGAAACTCATGTAGTACTGAACACCTAACATGAACGTGCCGGGCGGCGCGGTCCCGTGGGTTAGATGCGCGTTCATAATGCCGAGTGAAATACCTCAGAATAACGTTATTAGCACATTTTTACAACTTGAGGAACGAATGTTTTTAATAAGGGCTATACAAGTGTTCATACTGGGTTGTTTATTTAGTTTAAAAAAAATTATCCAACGAGTTACAGACCACTCTTTCCCAATGTAAGTCAATGGGAAAAAGTGTTTCCGGGCCCAGCAACCAAACGGAAGTGTAGTACCGCCGTTTGGCCAGCACGAATATTCTCATCAGACTCCGGCGCACTTCCTGGGGGCTTGGTTATACCACAAGGTGAGTTCCTTTTTACTTCCTGCTTCTTCACACACATGCTCTCCAGTACAGGTTAGCTCTGAGTGTTAGCGATGCTAATGTAAACACCGACCATATTACGTCCAAAACAGTCGGGCATTGTTTCTGATAGCAACGTTTCTGATTGGGCCGTGGGTCCACATTTCAGATATTACGTCATATCGGACGCAAATCTGGATCAGCTCCGTTGTTCCCCCATTTTTTTTCACTTTAAACATGACAGTGAATAAGATGATATTATCCTCCATTAGCTTTGATTCGTAAGCTGCAGCTGCTTCAAACATTAGGTAATTAACAATGATATAAATTGTATAAATTCAACTTTTAATATATGAAAGTAAGAGGAACAGTTTGGCATTTCTTCTTTTATGAATAACATTGTCTCACTTTATTTAGATTTGTTTTGAAATGGCAAGCACCAGCTCCATATATGGTATGAGTTTATGGTAACTGAAGTTATAATGTGTTAGGTAATTATATATATTTAGCATGTTACGTCATCACTGACCTCGTCGGAGTCATCAGGAAAATAAACCTTGTGGAAGATCTGCGTGGTTTTGTGCTGGATGGCCTCCACCTCCACCAGGTGAGGAGGGTACTTCCTGGATCCATTTCTGAAACACATGGTAGACAGGAAGTAGAATTATACCCTGCATAATATAAACGATACGATATGACGAGATGATAAAACTTTAATGGTCGGATCAAGTCTGAAATTTGACTTGCATGCCAGCAGCTCATCATCATAGACAAATATCCAGACACAATACGTGAAAAACAAACAACAAACATTTAACATAACAGCACAATCACTGAGAGAAAACATGCTCAAAGACTGTGTGTGTGTGTGTGTGTGTGTGTGTGTGTGTGTGTGTGTGTGTGGTCTAGCATTACTATACTTGTGGGGACCTAAATCTGTTTACATAGTCACGTGTAGGGACTGGCTTCCCTTATGGGGACAAATTGGAGGTCCCCATGAGGGGAATCATTAATTTTAGGGTGAAGACTTGGTTAGGGTTAGGCATGTTTTGGTTCTGGTTAAGGTTAGGATAAGTCTCCAGGAAATGCATGTAAGTCAATGTAATGTCCCCTGAAGTGATGTATACATGGTGTGTGTGAGTGTGTGTGTGTGTGTGTGTGTGTGTGTGTGTGTGTGTGTGTGTGTGTGTGTGTGTGTGTGTTGTGTGTGTGTGTGTGTGTGTGTGTGTGTGTGTGTGTGTGTGTGTGTCACCGTAAGGCCTTCTGCAGCCGCTGCATGCAGTCCGGAGCGAGAGGATAATGTTTCTTGGCCTGCAGGAACTTCTGGACTTGAGGCAGCAGGATGTTACTGGGAGGAAACAGACCGGTGCAGAGCCACAGCAGCTCCCAGCCCTTCTCCTCACTGTACCTACACACACACACACACGCGCACGCACACACACACACACACACACACACACAACACACACACACACACACACACACACACACACACACACACACACACACACACACACACACACACACACACACACACACACACACACACACACACACACACACACACACACACACACGTAATTGTAACACAGTGACGTACTAAAAGATCATAATACTTGTTGAATAATTGTTTCCAAACTACCATCTTTGACACTTAAAGTCGATCAGGCTAAGCTGCACCTATTTACCTTTTTATTAAGCGATACTGGTTTATCAGTTTGTGATGTGGCTTTCTACCAGAGGTGGAAGAATAACTCGGATCCTTTACTTAAGTAAAACTAGAAAAACTATGGTCTTAAAATCTAATATTATAACATCCTGTTTTTATCCCTAACGATTGTATGTACTGTAAGAGCATTTTAATGTTGTAGTTTTTCAACGTAGAACCATTTGTAAATCTTAAAATACTCGTTTCAAGAAGGGAAGTGTACTGCATTATATGATATAATCATAGCATGTGTTTTTATTAGGGCCGGGACTTTAACGCGTTAATTAAGATTAATTAATTACACAAAAATTAACGCGTTAAAAAAATTAACGCATTTTAATCGCACTTATTTTTGCACCGCGGAACGTTTCTCACTGGATGAGTTTCAGGCGTACCGATTATACTGGAGCACTAACTAACGTTCATGACTTCAGACAACAACAAACCACAGTGAACAACAGTGGGAAATGTTGTTTTAAAAAACGGACGGATGGAAGCGATAAGAGCACGGTTGTGTGCAAATTATGCAAAAAGGAATTTGCATATCACCGCAGCACATCAAGCCTCAAGTATCACCTCAATGCAAAACATATAGCAGCTAGCGTGGAAGCTAGCGTGGACGTTAGCCTCTTTTATCGCGTTCACACCAAAAAGAGCCGGTACTAAAATTAGTTCATGAGAACCTTTTTACCCTCACGAAAGTCCCTGCTAGAGAGCAGAGAGCTGCTAGAGAGCAGGGACTTTCGTACGGCTCTCTTGTGAGAAAAGAGCTATATTTCTGATTGGCTGGGCGGATTGCAAACCACGCCCCGTAAAACTCCCAAAAAGTGTTGTGAAGCCGCCATTTTATTATCCTCGCATTAGCATTATTAGCATTAGCCCAGCGCAGAAACGCAGAGAGACTAATTTATGGCAACACAAAATAAAACATGGGAGCGGTGGAGATGAGGAGGTGTCGGCGTTCTGGCGATTTACTCGGAAGGCTTCAGTAGAAGCTGCTGGGACTCCCAGCAGCTTCTACTGAAGCCAGTCCCCAACTCCGGGGACTTCCGGCCGGGGACTTTGGGCGGCAGTATACGCCGTGAAGTGGTTTGCGGCCTGCCAGTAAACCCAAAGCAGAAGAAGAAGAAGTGACGTCAGCGGCTTCATTTGCCTAATCCTCCCCCAGGTTCAAAGAGTTCTCATGAAGTAAATTCTCATGAACCTTTGTGGGAAAAGTACTGCGGTGTGAATGCGCCTAATGGTATACTAAAATCCATGTGAAAAAAAATTGCTTCTCACTGTTCTTAGGTCAAATATGTATATGCGATTAAAAATGCGATTAATTTCGATTAATTAATTACAAAGCCTCTAATTAATTAGATTAATTTTTTTAATCGAGTCCCAGCCCTAGTTTTTATATGTTAAAATATCAAGCAACTACTTTTACTTACTTACTTAATGAGTGTTAATTACATTTAGTGGGGAAAAAAGCTCACTATCTACCTTCAACATTTAGTGTGTGAAGCAGAAAATGGAAACACTTAAATCAAGTATAGTACCGTGTGTGTGCGCTTGTGTGTGTGTGTGTGTGTGTGTGTGTGTGTGTGTGTGTGTGTGTGTGTGTGTGTGTGTGTGTGTGTGTGTGTGTGTGTGTGTGTGTGTGTGTGTGTGTGTGTGTGTGTGTGTCTCACGTGTTGCTGTTCTCAGTGAGCTGTTTGAGGATCTGACAGAAGATCTCGTCTTTGAGCGGCTCGGCCTTCAGAGCTCCTTCAAAGATCTGGTCTGTGAGCTCGTTGACGGAGCGCGCCCGTTTGGACGGGTAGTCGCACATGTACTTCATCAGAGGTGCAAGGGTCAAGGACAGCAAACAATCATTAAATACTTCTTAAATACCATGAGAGAGGGGACGAGAATCTAAGATTTATTTACACTACATCACACTTTGTTTACCTGACAAGTGATATAAACCATAAATAAACAAACTCAGAACTGCAAGAAACCTGAAAGTACCGTTTTGATCCGAATATTTTTTACTCATTTTTGGAAAAATACCTTCTTTTGTTTTAATGCTTTTCTCTGACTGTTTACATTTTTAAGGCGGTCTTTTTGGGCTCGCCTATTTTTGGTCTCTGTCTCTCCAGCTCTATCTCTACCTGTTGCTGTGTACTGTTACTTTAAGACGGTGTCTCGCTTGGGGAACACTCGTTTGGCGCCATCTGTTGCTGTGACTGTGTAATTACATCGAAAAGTCTAGACCCCCGAATATAAGACGGAGAAGAAAATCTCTTTCAGATTTATTTATAGGAAAAAAAAAACGTCTTATATTCAGGTCAATATGGTACTTTATTCAAATGCATGCTAAATCATGCATTCGTCTCAATGTACTTATATCTTTTAAGTACTACTTAAAGGTAGGGTATGTAAGAATGGAGAAACCAGCTCGAGTGCGCAAGAAATTGAAAATACGCAGCCGAAAACAATCTGCCCCTTCCTTCAGACTTCCTCACAGAGCCCCTCCTCCAAAACACACGAACGCGCACATGACCAATGAGGGCACGAGATAAATTTGTGCCCAGATGGAAGGCTGACAGGCAGGTAGGCCATCCAGTTACTTTAGCCGGGCCGGCTCAGATGATTGGTCGTGCTTTTCACAGCGCCACGGCTTCCACTGATGATATATTGTTATGTATTTGTTGTCAAAGCATTTCAGATATTCATTGCTATCGGGATGTTAAGAGCATTCCATGGAATATAACAAAAAGTGTTTCGGAAGTGAATTACCTACCCCACCTTTAATGTGTTTAATGTATTATATGTATGCATTTATTTGTTTAATTATGGGAGAGGAAGGTGTTATTCTGAGAAAAAACATAATTAAAAAGTATTCTGTTTGGTAAAAAAAGGGTGATGATGAAAAAATATAACCAGAGGTGGGAAGTAGTGTAGTAAAAATACTTTGTTACTGTACTCAAGTACATTTTTCTGGTATCAGTACTTTACTCCACTACTTATTTCCCTGACGACTTATTGCTTTGACTTCTTACATGTTGAACACAAATACCTGTACTTTCTACTTCTTACATTTTGAACACAAATACCTGTACTTTCTACTTCTCACATGTTGAACACAAATACCTGTACTTTCTACTTCTCACATGTTGAACACAAATACCTGTACTTTCTACTTCTTACATGTTGAACACAAATACCTGTACTTTCTACTTCTCACATGTTGAACACAAATACCTGTACTTTCTACTTCTTACATGTTGAACACAAATACCTGTACTTTCTACTTCTTACATGTTGAACACAAATACCTGTACTTTCTACTTCTCACATGTTGAACTCAAATACCTGTACTTTCTACTTCTTACATGTTGAACACAAATACCTGTACTTTCTACTTCTCACATGTTGAACTCAAATACCTGTACTTTCTACTTCTTACATGTTGAACACAAATACCTGTACTTTCTACTTCTTACATGTTGAACACAAATACCTGTACTTTCTACTTCTTACATGTTGAACTCAAATACCTGTACTTTCTACTTCTTACATGTTGAACACAAATACCTGTACTTTCTACTTCTTACATGTTGAACACAAATACCTGTACTTTCTACTTCTTACATTTTGAACACAAATACCTGTACTTTCTACTTCTTACATGTTGAACTCAAATACCTGTACTTTCTACTTCTTACATGTTGAACTCAAATACCTGTACTTTCTACTTCTTACATGTTGAACACAAATACCTGTACTTTCTACTTCTTACATGTTGAACACAAATACCTGTACTTTCTACTTCTTACATGTTGAACTCAAATACCTGTACTTTCTACTTCTTACATGTTGAACTCAAATACCTGTACTTTCTACTTCTTACATGTTGAACTCAAATACCTGTACTTTCTACTTCTTACATGTTGAACTCAAATACCTGTACTTTCTACTTCTTACATGTTGAACCCAAATACCTGTACTTTCTACTTCTTACATGTTGAACTCAAATACCTGTACTTTCTACTTCTTACATGTTGAACTCAAATACCTGTACTTTCTACTTCTCACATGTTGAACTCAAATACCTGTACTTTCTACTTCTTACATGTTGAACTCAAATACCTGTACTTTCTACTTCTTACATGTTGAACTCAAATACCTGTACTTTCTACTTCTTACATGTTGAACCCAAATACCTGTACTTTCTACTTCTCACATGTTGAACTCAAATACCTGTACTTTCTACTTCTTACATGTTGAACTCAAATACCTGTACTTTCTACTTCTCACATGTTGAACTCAAATACCTGTACTTTCTACTTCTTACATGTTGAACACAAATACCTGTACTTTCTACTTCTTACATGTTGAACTCAAATACCTGTACTTTCTACTTCTTACATGTTGAACTCAAATACCTGTACTTTCTACTTCTTACATGTTGAACTCAAATACCTGTACTTTCTACTTCTTACATGTTGAACTCAAATACCTGTACTTTCTACTTCTTACATGTTGAACTCAAATACCTGTACTTTCTACTTCTTACATGTTGAACTCAAATACCTGTACTTTCTACTTCTTACATGTTGAACTCAAATACCTGTACTTTCTACTTCTCTCATTCTCCAAACAGCTGGTTCCTTTAGTCTGAATGTGTGTTTGGTGCGTGATCATTATTCTTTAGAGTCATTGCGTGCCTATTGATTTGAACACGATCCGTGTATCCATCATTTCCTGGTCTTCTCTAAAGAAGAGGGACCAATGGAAACGTTGTCATGTTGCCGTTGTTCAGCATGGAAACATTCATTAGCTAACAATGACATTATTGTTCTATTCATATAAAGGGAGGTCAGGTACTCTTTAAAGCAGCTGCTAGTTATGGGGACTTTTTACTGAAGTACATTTCAAAGCCTCTTTACTTTCACTTGAGTAAAGAAGTTTAGTCAGTACTTCTACTTTCACCAGAGTATTTTTGAACACCTTTGCCATCTCTGCATATAACACATATACAGATCCTAAAGGATATCCATGAAAGCGAGGCAGGCCTCCTGGGAGAGCTCCTGGTGGGCGAGCACCTTCTTCAGCAGCGGCTGTTTGATTGGCTCCCGGCTGCAGCTCCACAGACGCTCCTTCCCCCGAGACTTTGGGTTCATCACCCTGCTCAGAGTGCTCTTCGGAGGAGGCCTGGAGACCAGATAGAAGAGGGTGAAACACACATGTATAGGTACACTTTATGTCTGCAAAGGATGCGGAAACTCACCTGAAGTAGTCGTAGGAGAACTCCTCCAGCGTGTGGGCTTTAGTTCTGTCCTCGATGTCGGAGACGCTCAGCTGAGACGAACCGATGGACTCTCGCCTCTGATTAGGAGTCATCGTCACCAGAGCCTGAGGAGAGAGGGAAATGGTAGGAGTTAAAAGACAAATATATTTCCAAGTGCAAAGAGAACATCTCAATGTCGCTCAATCGTTTCTCATTCTGATCTCCTGTTCTCATAATAATAAAGCTTTATTCACGTGCAGCTCAAAGTGCTTTACAAAATGATTTTTACATGAGGGATGAAATGCAAGTTAACGAGTATAATGTGTGTTTTTAAAATGTTGAAGGGCTTATTTGAAACTGCAAACAGAAAGAAAGGTGCATTGATCGTTTCAAACTGACTGATATAATACAGTGATGCATGGTTTTACGTCCGTGTGCCTTGACACACACATCCTCTCCCCTCACCACGATGTCGTACTGCGGCCTGGTGAGGCTGGGCAGCAGGTACACGCAGTCAGCAGGGAAGTCTCCTCTCAGTTTCGTGCGGTCGTTGATCCCGTGAGCCCAGCCCGACGTCATCACCTGATCCCCGCTGTGCTCGTCCAGGACGATCAGATCCCCCTTACAGAAACTCAGGAAGGTGGAGTCCACCGCGCCCACTGAGGGACGAACAAGACAAATGAAGACTGTTTACATCAGAGGTCGCGTTAACCGAATATTTTCCGTCTATGACGTTTTTTTTTATAACAATGACGGAAAAATCTGAAAGCCGTCCGTCGTTTTGACGGATTAGAATAAACTCAGAGCAGCACCAAGGTTTCCCCGCAGCGGGGCTCCGGTGTCATTATGCATGCCTATGATATATGATGGTCATTTATCTTGCACTATTTTCAAAGCTCTCAAGGACACCTTACAGAGGATAATTAAAAACAAGGCCAAACAGTAATTCGAGACTTAAAAAACAAAGTCTTAACAACAGTTTAGAGGAATTATGATATAGAATACGCTAGTTTTAAAAGGTGGGTTTTCAGGCAGGATTTGAAGGTTGAGAAAGTAATAATGATATCGTTTCCAAACCTAACTTTGCCGAACAGATAATTGAAATGTCTGTGAGTACAAGCTTTACGCTGCGCTCCCGCGAGGTGCAGTGGGCATGCATAACACGGCGCTAACAGTTCACGAGCTAGTGTGCGTCCCCCCCCCGGCAGAGTTGTGTGCGTTGTTGGAGGTGAACGTGTACTCGTCTAATTTCACCGTGGCCAACGTGAAGCTCTGGCCCTGCAGCTTCCCCCCTCTGAGAGATGGGATGTCATTTAAATCACAGGCTTTCCTTGAGGCGGAACGAGGATGACGGGTTATAATAGATTTTGACGGAAATGTCACGATCCTGTCGGGCAGCGAAAAAGTCTAGCGCAACCTCTGATATACATTTATTTATATGAAGTCCAGCAGCAAATTCAGAATCTAAATACTTCACTTTTCCTGTGGGTACAAAACACAACATCTTCTATAATATCTATTTTATTCCAATTCCATTTAAATGTAAATACTGCTATATTTGACTATGTTTTTAAATATTTTTTAATGTTGTTATAGTTTTCTTAATACAGTTTTCTATCTGTGTTTTACTTTAATGTATGCACGACGACATCAAGTCAAATTCCTCGTACGTGTCAACCTGCCTGGTGATAAACCTGACTCTGATTCTGAACATATACACACACGTTTATTACAGTATACAGAGGTGTTCTAGTATTAATAAGAACGTTGCAATGCTTTTAGACACAGTTAAATGAAGCGTTGTGTCTCACCAGGGTTGGGGCAGTCGATCAGTCCCACCACGTACTTAGACCTCTTCCTCAGACCCTCCAGGAAGTCCACCACCAGGTCTCTGATGTCCTCAGCGTTGTTGGAGGTGAACGTGTACTCGTCTCCTTTCACCGTGGCCAACGTGAAGCTCTGGCCCTGCAGCTTCCCCCCTCTGAGAGATGGGATGTCATTTAAATCACAGGCTTTCCTTGAGGCGGAACGAGGATGTATGATTAGACATTATTCTTTTCAATCAAAGCCATGATGTGAAATCTTTTCCAGAAACATGTTTTGTCATGTTTGTTAAAGTTCAATTTCCTGACAGCTATTTATTAATGAAATACAAAAGCGAACAGTGGCTATGTTTTGTGTTTGAGTTATTCATCAAATGATTCGTTTACAAGGATCATTTTGGGTTGAGTGGCTTCTGCAGGAGGCCTCAAAATGAATATTAATTTGACACAGAGGATGTTTAATCCCTGTAGCTTAAAGGTCATGGTTTCAAGGCTTTTATTGTCATTTGCACATTAGCTAGTGTGTCAATGAAAACGTAAGTCACAGGCTCCTCCAACAGTGCAACATGAATATAAGACATAGAACAAATAAAACCGATAAAATAGTGTAATAGAATGTTTTCAGATGTGCAAGTAAATACTAATAAAATGGTGTTATGGTACCTGCTGCTGGACACCGCGGTGATCTCTGGGAAGGAAAGCTCCAGAAGGACCTGCTCCTGCTCGTCCACAAAGTAAACCCCGGTCCAGTTCACCGCCACGATCACATCGTTCTTCGGCAGACTGGGGCCTGAGAGGACAGACGGTGGAATAGAATAGAATATATCTTTATTGACATCATACAATTTGCATATTTACATTTACGCACGCGCTGTACACCCCAGCGCGTGCACTACGCTCTGCATCAGTCAAACGACTCGCTGCGCCCTCGCTGCGAGGGGGACCCAAGTTCCCATCAGCAAAACCACGTGGGTTTGCTGTCCTGGCTCCAAGATGGTGGAATGAGCTCCCCATTGACATCAGGACGGCAGATAGCTTGCACATCTTCCGGCGCAAACTGAAAACTCCTCTCTTTCGACTCCACTTCGAGCGTTAGAACTATTAACGAAGCACTTTTATACTAATAAAGGACTGGCTTATCTAAAGCCAGTTGAGTAGCACTTGAAATGTTTGGCTCTATGAAACCTGATGTACTTTATGATTCTGTTTTCTTCAAGGTTGTGTCTTCCTGGTCGAATGCACTTATTGTAAGTCACTTTGGATAAAAGCGTCAGCTAAATGCAATGTAATGTAATACAAAGTACAACGAAATGTCTTTGGCAACTCTCACTGCAGTAAAAAATAGACACAATAAATAAATAAATAAGAGTGGTAAAAGCAGAGGTAGTAGCGATCTGGATCTGGATTAATACTGAGCAGAACCCAGAGGTATCACGCTCAGTGGGGGATGGATGATCCCCGCTAAATGTCTCTTAAAATTTGCCGGAAGCACTCCACGGTTTCTGCGATGACAGCTTCTTCTGGTAGCAAGTTCCACTCTCTGATTGTTCTCGGAAAGAAGGAGTATTTAAGAGTGTCACTAGTTCAAAGAGTTGGCTTTGCGGGTTGCACTTCTTCTAACTGGCTCTAGGTACATTGATGCATCAATGGCTGAGATGTTATGGACAATCTTGAAGAAGAGAACCAAACGAGCCAATCGCCGCCTTTCACTTAATTCCACCCAGTTCAACCGCTTGAGCATTTCTGTGACACTGCTGTCCCATTCATAATCTCCACTCGCGATGACAGCGCAACGGATAAACATACATGTCAATTTGCATATTTACACTTACAGTAGTTTTTCTAAAATAGTAGTGGTTGCAGTCTTTGAGGGGTGGAGTTGTGTGTGTGTGTGTGTGTGTGTGTGTGTGTGTGTGTGTGTGTGTGTGTGTGTGTGTGTGTGTGTGTGTGTGTGTGTGTGTGTGTGTGTGTGTGTGTGTGTTTACAGTTGTTGCAATGTTCTGTTATGTGATTGTGATGATATGTGACATGTACGTAGTAACGTGTGTTGTTTATATTTGATTGGTCTCTTCTATCCTTTCGCCTCTATCTACTTCATCCTTTCTTTAAAACTAATGCTGTTGATGTGTTGTGATTTTAAGGGTGTCCATTAGTATATATAAAGGAACATGGAAGTAAAACTATGCATCACATGTCCTTTTTTTTTATAACTAATGCTGTTGATGTCTTGGTGACTATTATACCCAGCAACCTGTTCTTTTTCAAACCTGTATCTGTGGGACTATTATTATTTTGTTGTTTTGTTTTGTAAAGCATCCTTGGGTCTCTTGAAAGACGCTATAATATAATTGAAATTATTATCATCTGGCTGGGGACAACAGCTGGAAATTAGCAATGTTGGCTAAAGCTGCCCCATTTCCAGTTTTTTGTGACAGTCGATCAATAATAATAATAATTCCTTATATTTATTAAAGCGCTTTTCAATGACTCAAAGCTCCTTACAGATACACATTACACATACATACATGTAATGGTCATGTACTGTGGACAATACCCACAGTACACCACTGATGGTCAAACACACAGCCCACTGCGCCACTCCACCCTCAATGGGGACGGTCCACGACACTATAAACAAATACATTCCTTTCCTACCATACTGGCCAACCTTGAGACTTCAGAAATCGGGAGGATTTCAAAACCACCGCGGAGGGGGGGGGGGGGGGGGGTGCTAGTGGATCGCCGGAGCTGTATTGGATTAACATTAACTAACATGCTTATTGTAGTTGTAAGTGCACTGTCTTGATGGAGCATATGTGTGGGCTGGACCTGAGGAGTGAGCAGAGGGTCGTCGATTCTTGTTCTGTTTTCTGTGACTATCTTCCTCACCCTCTCAGACTTTCAGTTGCGCTACTAAAGCGACGCGCTACCATGGAAACCAAACAATGGTGTAGCTGTATTAAAGTCCGAGTGGAAGCAGTCGTGAGTAAATCTGATTTTGTCAGAAATCGTGAGAAATGCGGGAGAAATATGACCCCGGGAGGAAACCGGGAGAGGGCAATGGAATCGGGAGTCTCCCGCGAAAATCGGGAGGGTTGGCAAGTATGATTCCTACATGAGTAAGGACAACAGCGTGTTTGGGTAATTAAAGGTATTTTTTCACATTATGGATCCAGGGAAAGACGGTCATAATGTACAAGATTAAAGTAGGAGTAGAAAGCACATTTATGAAGAGGGAGGGGATAGTTCCCCTCCAAAGGACCCCAATAGTAAATAAGACAGCTGTATACAGTATGACCAACCGGAGAACTTGAAGGCCTCGTAGAAGCGTGAGAAGAGTAAAGGCCACTTTAACCGAGCAAAGTCCACCACGTCCTCCTTCACCCTCTGAGTGCTCAGCCTGCGTTTACTGTGTAGTCCCTGCACACACACACACACACACACACACACACACACACACACCACACACACACACACAACACACACACACACACACACACACACACACACACACACACACACACCACACACACACAACACACACCACACACACACACACACACACACACACACACACACACACACACACACACACACACACACACACACACACACACACACACACACACACACACACACACACACACACACACACACACACACACACACACACACACACACACACTTTGAGTTAGTTACTGTCACACAGCTACACACACACAGTTGTCAGATGTTTCAAGATTCAAGTTTCAAAGCTTTATTGTCATGTGTACATTGGAGTACAGTATACTGTAGATATGTCAATGGAAAACTGAAGTCCCAGGCTCCTCCAACAGTGCAATATATATATATGGGACATAGAACAGATACAATAGTGCAATATAATGTTTGGAGCAAGTAAATACAAATAGAAAATAAATAGTGCCAGAAGAGTCTATATACAAGTAAATGGAATATGATATATTAGATACATAATTTGCAAAATGCAATCAGATGGATGTTTATGGATGTTGTGGTGACGTTTACCTTTTTGTGGGTGCTGACGATGAGCTATTTATTTGTTCTATGTCCTATATATATATTCATGTTGCTCTGTTGGAGGAGCCTAGGCTGTGACTTGAGTTGTTCATTGCCATCCCTACACTGTCCCTACTGTGCACATGACAATAAAGCCTTGAATCTTGAAACACACAGTTATCAGATGTGGTGATTTTGACCTTTTTGTGAGCGCTGACAATGAGCTATTTATTTGTTCTATGTTCCATGTATATATATATCTAGTCTTTTTAATTTTTATTGTACAATGCCATGTCTTTTTATGCTGCTGCAACACAAAAATGTCCCACATTGGGATCAATAAACTACTATCTTATATGTTGCTCTGTTGGAGGAGCCTGTGACTTGAGTGTTTCATTGACGGTAGCTAACGTACACATGACAATAAAGCCTTGAATCTTGAAGCACACAGTTGTCAGATGTGGTGACGTTTACCTT